GAAAATCGGGAATCAGAGAGGTTCAAGGGCAGAACCTTATGGAATGCCCTATAATACTGAAGCACATGAAGATCGCAAACCACTAATTCCAACAAACTGGGATCATGATTCTAGGTAGCCTCGTAACCAGTTGATTATAAGTTCATTTCTTAAGATGGACTGCAGTTTTAAAAGCAACCTAACGTGAGATACCTTTTCCAAAGCCTTGGATAGACAAAGAAATATTGCATCCATTTGCTTGGTACAATTAAGAGTGACACTAAATTCATGAATTGTTTCAATAAGCGGAGTTGTGGTGGACAACCCTTTACGAAAGCTATGTTGGTTGGGACTAAAAAATTAGAGATCTTCCACTTCATGTGAAGATGGAGGACCAGCAAAGCTGTTATCTTTACGACGTCTAGGACGATGCCTAGAGGATGTCTAGGACGAACTCGAGGACTAAGCCTAGGGTGATCTCAAGGACGACTTCTAGGATGACCTTGAGGACGACATGGGATGACCTCGAGGATGACTTCTAGGACGACCTTGAGGATTACGCCTAGGACGACCTCAGGGACGACGTCTAGGATGACCTCAAAGATGACGTCTAAGACCATCTCAAGGACGACTTTTAGGACGACCTCGAGGACAATGCCTAGGACCACCTCAAGGACGACTTCAGGAACTATTTCGAGGACGATGTCTAGGACGACTTCAAGGATGACTTCTAGGACGACCTCGAGGACGACCTCAAGGACGTCTAGGACGGCCTCAAGGACGACTTCTAGGATGACCTCGAGGACGACACATAGAGAAATTTAGCCTTTCCACTGTGGTGAATACCAGAGTGGAAAGGTTGCCGCCGTCGCTCATAGATGGCGGTAGCTGTCTGGAGTTTTGTTTCAACATCTTTTTTTTCTCTGCAGACATGATACTGGGGGAACTAGCCCTTAACAGCTCTGCTGTAAAAAGACTTTCCCCTCTGCCAACTCCCTGTAGACTTCAAGGAACCAATTACAGTCGAGCCCGGTTATATCACACTCGGGTATTTCGAATTATTGTATATATCGAACAGTCCAAACATCCCCTCTAAAATCACGTGTAATACTATAGGAGCGTTGTCTTTTTGTATCAAACTCTCATTGCGGGGACACTGGATATAGCGAACGAAGCCCGGCAACCCGTTGCTTTTCCGGCGATCCGATTGCGCCGGTGGCGAGCACATTGCTTGCGTTGCGGGGCTGGCAGACCGCCAAGCCAACATACACGCGGTACGATACACAGCGAAAGAACAGTTGTAAAAAAAAAGAGACAACCGCAAAAAAAGTGGATGGCAAAAGTAAGGGGAAGGGCACGCGCGCGCGCGTGTGGGAAGAACAAGGAGTGCCCCCTGTCGGAACGGTAGCCTGCGCCCTTTTCCCGAACACTGCTGATGCTGCGCGACTCCCTAGCCCCAAAATAAAATTAGCAAAAAAAAAAAAAAAAAAGTCTTCGACAAGTTGAGTGCGTTGACGACGATTGTGCAATCGCACTTTGAACGCCTAATTTTTATTTACTTTTTTTCTTTTGCCGTTATTGCTTTGCCAGTTTTTTTTTTTTTGCCTGAATTTAGTGCGTTTCTTTTTGCTTGCTTAACTTTTTTAATAATTTTTTTAGGGTTGTGCGAATATTTGGAATTTCGAGTAGCAGTTTCGAATAATACACTATTCGATATTCGCTTCGAGAAGAACTGCACTATTTACGTTCTTCGAAGTGCTGGTTGCGGCGGGTTAGTCCCGTTGAGTGCGCTTCTTACCGAGCACCGGTGCACTGCGGTGAAGCAATACCCACGGAAGCGAGCTCCGCGGGTGTTGCTTCTCGACATTACATCGGTGCTCGGTAAGAAGCGCACTCAGCAGGGTAACCCGCCGCGATAAACACTTGGGAAAGTATGAATATCGCAATTGCGTGCTTGGAAGAAAAGCATACATTGAAAGCTGGATGCTGCACGCGTGCCGGCTGTATTTGGAAATAAATGGAAACTTTTTTAATGTGTATTTTTTCATTTTTTAGCACGGCACTCACCCAAAGTAACAATCAATAACAAGAACATCCGACACCAGGTTAGTCATTCAAGAGGGGGCCATTGAGTAGTCGGAATATTGGCTGCACCCGAAAACGTTTCGTGTGCTGGAGAAAGGGTTTTCTTACTAGCTCCAACAGTATTTAGATATTAGTTATAATTCTTACTTATTATTTATCAACCAACTGGCACAGCTCACACCGGTGCACGTCCCGGTCACTAACGACGAGCGCTTTTTCTTTTTTGAAACAATATATTTATACGAGTAAATAACTGGGTGAAGGGCATAAGATTCAGCACCTTAATAGTTAGAAAAGAAAATATTTGATAAGCATGCGTGGAAGCAATGTTTTCCACCTGAATAGATGAAGCACCTAAATTTTTTGTATCTAACAAATCCAATCTTGAAGAATTGTACACCATTTAATTAGATTCCATTATTATGCTTCCCCCCCCCCCCCCCCCCTTCTCAGATGCTGCATGGATATCCGAATTAGGCTATCAGTAATTCAAATGAAGTAATATAACTATCGAAGGGAAAAAAATGTACTTACACCACTAGGTCATAGTTTACTCAAATTCATTCGTAAACATAAAATAAAAAAATTAACATCCATCAAAAACTAATCAATGATTTTAATTGAAAACATGACTTTGTACATGTTTGTAAATATTTGTATTCAACACTTGGATCAGTTTGTGCTTATAAGGATTCTATAATGCTAAAAGCACAAAACACAGGGACCGCCGATTTCTCACCTGGCAGCAGACGTTTTATGACAACTCTGACTGTTGCTCCGACGGGCCAAGGTCCTTCCCCCAAGGGAGGAGAGGGGTGAGGGGACACATTATCAGGGAAGGGGAAGGAAAACCATAAAGCACAGAAAACAGAGGAGGGGGGCAAGGCGAAGGGAGATCTGTATTACGGGCCCAACGTTCCTGTCCGAGGCAGTTCACCTTCACGGAGCAGTAAAATCCACGATTCCCTTATCAAGATTCACCGACTTAATAGAGCTGTACCTTCAATCCACGCTTGTGGATCACAAGGGCAAAGTGCTTAAAGACTGACGACCAGTTCGCGCTTTCCACTTACCCTCATTTCCTCCTCTCTCCCCTTTCTACCCGGGCCACCGCTGCCCGTTTCCTCCTCCCCCATGGTGAGAAGGATCTGCTTTGCAGAATCTCGAGTCTGGCTATCGGCCTTCAAGCAGAGTCAGGCATTTGCATTGGTTCTTGCCTCGCTCCCACCCTGAGCGAATTATACTCATTGTTTTGTCGACCAAGCTATTCAAAAGGCGTTCACGTCCGTCCCCGGGGACCTCAGTCTATCAGTACGTAGACGACCACTTGATTATTCACAGTACCACCTTGGATCCCGCAAAGATTCAGCAGGCGTTCTCAAACAACTTATTCGGCCCAACATTCATGAAAGAACCAACCTCTGAGGGGCTCCTACTTCTGGTCATTTCAGCAAAGGTCGTGCAAGCCCCTGCTCCCGTTTAACGACTACCAATCCAGAAACGTAAAAAAATGGGATAGTAAAGACCCTTCCGACGCCCTCCGGGACTAAGTCCTGCCACCACTGGGTAGCTGGGAGTTGCTCCATGCAAAGCTCTTGCCTGATTAAGGTTAGATGCCCCCAGGATCTGCTGAAAATGACACTTGAATGCATAATAATTACGCAGGTATCAAACGAAAATGCCCATTTCTTCAGCTATTGGCAAACTTTCTCTCCGACAAATGAAATCGGACTATTTTTGCGAGTTACTTCCACAGGCCGCCCACTTAAACTGCTTGCTCCTAACTTTCAATTTACAGGATGATGGGGCAGGCACATTATAAACAGCAATCATATGTTCACGAAGCTCCTTCAATTCTTTTGTGGAGAATTTTGTTACAGAACACACTGCTCCGAATCTAGTATTTTCTAACCATATTTGACAATAAATCTTTTCCAACCTCCTTTCTCTTAGTATTACACCGTGCCGCAACTGTGCAGGCCTAGACTTGTTTCAGCACTCGTGCTTTCTTTCATACTGTGGTATATAAATTATTGAACCCCCCTCATAAATCAAGGAAAGAGCTTCTAGACAAACATCTAGAACAGACCTTTCTTAGGTGCTTACCACGAATTCAATTCAACCCAAATATTTTAGTTCTAATCACTGTGCATCTATCATCTCACGAACATCTAACCCACTATAATGCAGGAGGATCGATGGCCGAGTGGGTTAGTGCACCTGGGCTTCGAGCACGTGGAGCGAAAGCTCGCGCAGTTGTACTGCACTGGCCAAATTTCTCATCTACAGCCAAGACACGAGACGCCCATTAAGGCCGACTAACTTCCGGCTGCATAAACACACATACAACACAACACGAAAACTTTACATCTCACTTTCTTTAACTATATGGGCATGTAAAAAGCCCCATATAAAGAAGTTAATACTGTAGGCAAAAGAGCTTCTAGGTTCTCGAACAGGATTCTAGGAATCCAAGGGTTTCTGGGATTGCAACTGGGGTACCTCCAACACCAAAGTTCCCTAGATAAGGCACGCCACTAGCTTGGGCACAACTAAACGGCTGGAATCTAGAGTGGCACATCCCTCAAAGTAATTCTGAGATTTAAGAAAAGCAGGGCCAGCTTCTCCCATGAAGCAATCTACTCTTTTCACCTTAGCAGAGCAAATGCCGGAAAAACGAGTGGACAGGAGGAAAACGCCAGTCGTGGCAAGAAGAGCGCTTTGTGGGAGGGTCTTGTCCCGCTTTTCTAGCACAGACTACAGTTTTAACACTATACAATATGCCCGATACCTTCGATAGCGCCAAATTTCTGCGAGATCATTTCAAATTTTGACCTCGGTTTTTGCAATCGTGGGGGATGCTGTTTTCTTGCAAGGGGAATTCCCCAGAAAAGAAGTTCTACACTGCACAGGAACAAAAAGACATCCACACATCATTCAATGTACAAAAAGTTTTTTTTTTTCTTTTTAATGTCTTTTTCAAACAAGAGCACGAGAGCTAGTCCACATACAAAAAGGAGCGTCGTGGCGAGAGGTCAGTCGCTTTTGTCTTTTCCGTCGTTAGGGTCCCGTTAATCGAGGAGGAAATTTGCAGAGAAATTAAAAACGCGACTTCACCACGACAAATAAATACACGGGCGGCACACCACCCCCAGACTACGTGCATGTTTCCACTTACGACGCTGGCACATTCCAACAACAACAACGCCGTCTGCTGATTCTTCATTGGCCTCTTGAAACATTCTACGATGTTAACGTTTTATGTCCACGAAAACTTCTTTCGAGCAAAACGGTTAAAAAAAAGGTTGCAGATCGAGTAAGAGAAGCTAACAGATTGCAAGAAGATCAACGAAGATGAGACGGCGGATTCTCTTCGTCCCTCTGGAGACGAAGCCACGTGGATGTCACTTTTGAATCAAAGTGATCCTAAGGATCACTTTGATCCGAGGGTGATGATCCCCCCTCCCCCTCGTCCAAAAATACAACAACGCTTTTCAAGCGTCTGTTTCCCCTTGCTCCCTCAGAGTCGGGGTGGGGGTCACTGAGTGGTGCCTCCCAGCACCTTGTGCAGTGCCTCTTGCTGTGCGGCGTTCAGTTGGGACACGCAGGCTGCAAACACTTCTCCGTTACTCTGAAATGCAAGGAAGGGTTGCGTGTCTTGATGCAGGAACACAGTAAAAGAAGTTCACGTGCAACGGCGAATATGCAGAGAAAATAAACCTTTTATCACTGCGAGAAACAAACTATGTGCTGCCGAACGCAGTGCTGGTAGTTGAACACCAAACTTTCAAAACTTATCAAATAAAAAATAGATTAAAAAAAATATTTCATTACAAAAACATTAGCCATTAAAGCCCACGAATAGATGGAGACTAAGAGTGCTGCCAAATATGCACACCGCATTGGCAGAGTCTGAACAGTTGGCAAAATAAAAGTCTACTTTTGCGGTGAGAAAAATGTGGCTTGCTCTACTCTACAAACACCTTGTAGATGTATCTTTCAGGGGTGTGACATCTGCGCCAATTGCGTCATTTTGATACAAACCCAATTTTCTGCGCCTAGTTGCGCCAAAAATGTGAAATCGGTCAAAATCCCGTTACACTGTGCCAAAGTAACTCAAAAAAGAAAAAAGTTTGCGGCGACGCTAAATTTAGCAGGAAACGAGAGCTTGGTTGGCAACATTCAATCTCGTCGTAGTAAAGTACACGGCACGGGTACAGGGTGGCGCAAGCAACCGCCGGATTTGAAGATTTCAGCTGTAGTGCCCTTCCATACCTCCGATACGTGGTCTTTTCCCGATTTTCGTACTACTTTCCGCTGTCATCTGTGGCTGCATGCTAACGGTGCGCTGCCACGCAGTCTCACTGTCTGGCCATGGGAGGTACGACGCACAGGCTATCTAGATGAGCAAACCAAAGTATTTATTTCGTTTTGAGAGTAAACCTTTTCTTAAAAGTGCTATTGAGCGCCTCCATTGTGTAATTGTTCATTTGTGTCCGTAATCTCGTCAAAATGGACGGCGCCGTCGCCGTGAGTACCTTCGGTTATCACACACGTGCTTCCAGTGCGTGAGCAATCGAGTGAATCGGTCACACCCGCATTTAGCGTGCATGTGGTACTCATAGTTTTTCTACCAATTCACTATTCACATTGTGACTCACTTTGGTGGGGAGTTTTTTTCTATCTGCCTGTGCTTTCTACGAGTGTCCGATTGATGTATGGTTGTAGTAAACCGTGCTTCCTTGTTCATGCTCTCGAATCGCCGCTTTCAAAAGTTTTGCACTACAATTGCGCTTTGGCACCAATTCGTATAAGCTTGAGGTACCGGGTGCCCACCCAACTTTGCAGCAAGCCTGTGTTTCCTGTCCTCATCTGTGCACATGAAACCCGCGTTTGCCTTTTCTGTCTTTTTTTGTTTTTTTAAATATTTTTCTTATATGTTATCTTGGTGTGTATCAGCACTGATGACTTATTGGAACCAGGGTGGACAAAAATAACAATTAAAAAGGAAAAATCTGATTTGTGTGATTTATATCAGATTTTTTTTTTTATGATTTAAATTGCTGATAACCTGCTCTAACATTTTCTGCTCCTAATATGCTCCGAACTGTAGACTTTTGTCCTTCGAAGTTGCTCCAAAATGCATAAACTGCTGCTCCAAAACGAGAATTTTGTGCTCCTAAGCTGCTCCGAAATTCAGATTTTTCTGCTCCCAAAATTGCTCCAAAATCTGTTTCACCTGTCTCACCCCCATTTTACTCATTCTTGGTACCGAGGTCACGTCCTGTGAGCCAATCGCAATATGGCTGGTCGTGATTGACTCGCAACTGCTCTCGCTCCCGAGAGCAACCTTCAATCGTGTTAAAAACAAAATCAACCTAAATTGTTTCTGCACTCTAGGAACGCTCAATTTAAGTTGGCACCCCACGAAGACAAGGTAGGGCACCTTCTGTATTCGCACGAATATAACACGACCACAAACGCGAGCCCATGCCCCAAAGGCAGGTTTTGATACCCTCACAAAAAAAAAAAAAAAAAAAAATTACTATTATAATGCGAGCCGAGGCCGCATAAATTTATTACACTCGGGGCACAGCAGAAGTGAAAAGGCAATGAAACTCTAAGAAATATCAGTTTTTGTTTTGACTACACTCATCCTCATTGCTCAGGTCCTTCTGGTTGCAATCCACTTTGCGACTTTGTGGATATCCAGCAGCACGGCGCGGCTTGTCAGGAGTTCCTTTTTCTTCGCTGTGAGCTCCTCGGCAGCCCACAGGCAAAGCAAGGCACGAAGCAGAAGCACTTACACACAAACACCAGACAACTCTGGAGCAGAAACTAAAAAATATGCAGGCAGAAAAAAAGACTGCTTGACCCGATACACGTTCACACTAATTCTTATTCTGGTCTGTACGCATAAACACTTCTGTTGCACGATTGCGAAAACACGGTGGGTGGTCTTGGTTTGTGTTGACTTGCCCTGGGTTGATTTGGCTTGAGCCCGCATTCCCGCGTGGCGCGCCGCACTTCTGCGGCGTGCTTTTCCCAGGCATTGAACAAACACAAAATCAATACAAATGCTTTTGATGTTTTCTATTTCCCCCTTCCGTAACCCAATAGCTAATAAATTCCTTCCCACACTCCCACTTCTTTTCCCACCCTATCTCCAGCATTGAGCCTCGTGGATCAACTTGATTCCGAATATAACGCGAGGTACGTTTTGAAGCATGTAATTTTGAGAAAAAAAAAAACAACTTGCGTTATATTCGTGCAAATACAATATTTTCTGCCCCTTTAGATGGAATTACTGGCAGCTTTTGCCGGCGACACAGACAGCTCCTTGGACCCACCTTGAGCGTGTTGAGGAGGGTGACCATCCGCGTGCCAACCTCGGAGGTCGGGTCTATGGCCTCCTTGAGGAAGGCCTCCGCCATCACCATCACCACCCTCGGAAGGTTAGCATTGTCTGCGCCCAGCAGCGCCACGTGGTTGCTGCAAGCCACAATCAAACACAGTGTTTGTCTTGAACTACTACTGTTGTTGGCCCTTCCGATTTCATTTAGCTTGTTTAGCTCGAAGACATCCTTGCGGATGTACTACAGTAAAACCTCGTTATGACAAAATGGGATATAACAAACTAATGGATATAACAAAGCAATCATAATTCCCCTTGCATGCTAATAGGGAAGAAATGGACATTGGCTATAACAAACTAATGGTTATAACGAAATAATTACGATCGCTCCTTCAACTTTGTTATAACGAGGGTTTACTGTACATGAAAAATAATTAGTACAATAAAAAGCTTGTCTTTATTCTCCTTTTCCCTGGAGCCCACACATTTCACTGTCATCTTAACCGCGAATAGGGGACTATGACGTCAATTTCGTTGCATGTGCTCGCGCACACCGGTGGCTGCTGGCCCATGGAAAGATAGTGCGCCACTTATTATAAACACTGAAATGTATGGTTCAGCATCCTTTTAAGAGCACCGGTGCAATAAAAATTCCAGATTTCTTTTCAAAATGAGAAAGGAGCTTGTCCTGTTTGCACTTCCTTTGGTCCCCTTTTACTGTGCGCTGTTTGCCTTTTCGTGAGAAGGCAGCAACCCAACTGTTATGCACTTTGTATGTATCGATGTACATGACTCCCATAAATTGCATTTCACACTTTTGACTCGATGTATGCTGTGCCCTATGCTGTTCCATATTCTAGTGAATATATTCAGTTTAGTCAACTTTTAGTTTAGTGAACCCCCTTCCCTTGAAGTTCGCTCCAATGAGAGTTTACTGTACAATGGAAGGGGTGTTGGGGCTGCCACCCCCGTCTTCAAAGCGGATGCACTGCGATTGACAACCAAGGTTATAGGACGTGCCCAGGTCGGTATGTGCTACCTGAAATCGCCGGTGAGCCATGGTTGTATAAAAACAATATTAATTGTACCGCAAAACCTTGCAAGGTTTTATGAAAACATCATGCTCCAGTCAGGGCCGTACCCAGAAAAAAATTTCGGGGAGGGTTTTCGGGGACAACGGCAGCCATTTTGAAAATGTCTATTGTCTTATTTTCGCCTATGAATCATGTGCATCGGTGGCATATAATGGAGACTTATAGCAAACCGGAGAACCGGTCCCGGTTTGGTACCCGGTAGCCGACCGGCGCCACTGCGCGTGCGCAGAGGTGGAGATTAAAATCGGCTGGCTGCAAGTGCACCGACCAGGGCCGTACACAGAAAAAAATTTCGGGGGGGGTCAGAACCCCCTATCCCCCCCCCTGGTTACGGCCCTGGCTCCAGTCATTCTCTAGTAATCTCCAATAAAAGTTCCTACAAAAAGAGCTCTTTCCATTTGTTCTTACACAAAAACATCCAATCTAAAAGCTCATGATGACCACAGTAAAGAAAACAAGATTGAGCCGCCATCTTGGCACCTCAAACCTGGAAGTTTCGGTAGTCTGAGAACATTCAGTGACTCTAGTCGTTACTAACCGTATGAGCGCGAATGCCGATCGCTGGCGTTATGGCGTTTGAACGGTTCATGGAAAGAAACGACACACCCAAGGTGTACCCATGATTGCATAAAAACAGAAGGAGTGTGGTACAAAATAACATGGCATAACCCTGTCCCAAAAAAACTTTCAGCCTTTCCACTTTGGTGAAAAGGAAGACAAGCGAAGCTGTACTATGGTGGGCGGCTTTCCAGGCAAGCAATGTGCTCTTCTACGCAAAGGAATCTGAAGCGCTAGACGCAGTGGAACTCGAGGTGACAGCGGCTTCACAGCAGTTGCAGACCCATTTGCACTGCTGCATATGTCGCCACTCCTTCCGCATCTGGTCTTCTTTCCCCGAAGAAAGGGCACGCAGACGACCCATCGCGAGTCCAAACCGCAACTGGTTAAGAATGTAGGAGACAGCGCGCAAAACAGACGAGGACGAAAAAGAAACGCACGGGACGAGCGCTGCGCTCGTCACGTGTGTTCCTTCGTCCTCGTCTGTTTTTCCACTGTTTCCTACGATCAATTCCCACCAACTTGCTCAATTATTCATTCTCCTATGATAGCAGGAAAGGTCGCCGCCATCTATGAGCAACGGCGGCAACCAGACTGGCTGTCTGGTTGCCACCATCGCTCATAGATGGCGGTACCTGTCCAGAGTTTTGTGTCGACATTTGTTTGATACCGGACACGAAACTGGGAAACTAGCCCTAAACAGCTCCGCTGTAAAACCAAAGCAGCAACGTCCACCACAAACCCCGAAGAAAGCACAGAAACACGTTCTACAAACACCTACTTTATCCAAAGAATCCAACATAAATAAATCTTCGAAGTGCCTCGTGACTCAGTTCAGTCGCAGTTACCTCTGGAAGTTATCTCGACAAGCACGCAGAGAAACCGGCGTGCGCCACTCACACTTCCAGGAGGGAGCAGAGCAGCCCGTAGACGTGCGGGTTCTCCTCGTCGTCCTCCCAGACGGGCAGCCAGGAGAACCAGCGGGGCACCAGCTCGTCCACGCTGACGTCCCGGCAGCGCCAGAGCAGCACCTTGCTCACCGCCGAGATGGCGTTTTCCGTTGCAAACACCCGCTCGGGGCCTCGGGAGTCGGGGGCCTCGATCATCGCCACCAGCGTCGGCACCGCGCCTGCGCAGAAACGAGCGGTCCTGCGTTGGTCCACCGTACGATCGAGGCGAGGTTGTTGGCGCTTCGTTCTCACGAGCGTGCACCTCGCAGTTCTCTGTTCGACGAACGGCGCAACGCGTCTTTCGGAGTCTTGCGATGAGCAAGACCCCAAGACTCCCGTGTCCACCTCTCTGTGCCATACTCCCGTCGAGTTTCGGCATGCCTGCCGCTCGGGAATCCGACAACGACGATGTAATGCGCGGACCCTTCTAGGTGGTATCCGATGGATGGATGCAGCCAAACCCAATTAGTCGGCAAAAGCTTTTAATTTCGAAGATCAACTCCAAATAAATTTGGAATTGATTAAGAACGTCGAAGAATTTTCTATCTCGACGTCGCAGCGACTACGGCCGTGTGGTGGGGCACTACTCAAGGCTCGTACTCACGTTTGTTCAGTAAAAAAAACATATAATAAAGCGGATTGACAATGCTGTGGCACGCAATGTTTTTTCGAGCAGTTGGCAATATCCCGACAGACGCCGCTGTGCCCTATTATGCCAGCTGCAGCAACTACTACATTACTAAAACTACGATGACGATGGACGTTATTTCCAGTGGTGGGAAGGGCTATAACAGCTATCGCTGTAAGAAACACATTTGTGAAAGCAACAGCTTTATACAAGAACGATAGAGCACAGCTGGTGATTTTGACATCCCAGCCCCTGCCACGAGAGCAAACTGTCACGTCACATGATGTCACGGTGGCACATGACGTCTCAGTATCGCGTGCTGCCACTGTGTCACGTGACGTCAAAGTGTCTCGTACAGCAGAGCTCTGATACAGCACAAAGTCGGCACTGTTTATATAGCACTGTGCTGTATGTGTGGGCGGCCCTTTAAAAGGATAGTGAACCGAAATTTGGATATAAAAAAAAAACAATGCAGGAGATGCACAACACTACTCGTAAGGCAATATCTCGAATGGACAGCGATATTTTCGGAAAAAGAAGCCGCATCTCCACGTGGTGAAGGATGTTGATTGGGGCGAAGCTCTGGTGGTGCTCATGATACTGATTTTATTGTTCATAGGTAGTGCTGATGGTGCTGATTCTTTTTTTATTGCTCACAGGTAGTGCTGAGTACCGGGTTGCTTTTCGACTTCATTATTACTGCTTTATGGTCGGTAAAATGCAGAGCCAGTGGTTCTTCTAGAGGATCAGCTTGAATCCGCTAGAAGCCGCAGGAACGCAGCTCCAGCGCTCAAGTCAACGGTCCATGTCAGAAAGAGAGTGTGTGGTATGGATTGTGGTTATATACGCAGTTGAGCATTTGACCGCAGTGCCCTCTTGTCCATAAACGTTGAGCCAATGCATGCAAGTTTAATGCATTTGACCGCAGCACCCTCTCCTGTATAGACATTGAGCGGCTACATGCAACGTTGGAGTGTAGCGTAGAGGTTAAAACGTCTGCCTTGTAAGCAAGTTGATCTTGGGTTCAAACCCCCGTGCGGGCGTACACTATTTTTTATTTTTTAAAGTGGGTCGATGTTGGAGGCAGTGCAATCGATGTGAGCATGGATGCCGGACAAGGCTATACCGTAAGGAGCTTCGCCCCTAAAAGAGGTCGAGATTGAACCAGGCTGACGAGGTGCATGACCGTGGAGATACCTAGTTTCCTCCTCTCTCCGCTTCGCTCCCTCAAGGCGGCAAGGCGGAGAAGACGCGAGGCCGTTCCCTCTCCTTTTCAGAGCAACATGACGTAAACATTTCTGTCAAATGCGCCTCCTTTTTTTGAAAAATACGGTCATCTGTTCGAGATATTGCAGTATGAGTGATGTTTTGGTGTTTGTAGCATCCCGTTGCACGCTCTTGCCGCGTGTTTTGTGGAATCCAGATTTCGGTTCAGCATCCTTTTAATAAGGAGGTACGAAACTCAAAATAGATGGCACGAAAAATGGAAGGACTCACTTGCGCAGACCTTGGAAAAGTTCTCCCCACCAAACTGTGCAAGCACGCCGATTCCGTAGCTGGCAGCCTGCCGGACTTCTGCGCTGTGGCTCTCCAGCAGCTGGAGTAACCTCGGCAGGAAGTAGCCCTGGTACCTCTCGCAGGCCTGACCGACGAAACGACACCGGCAAAAAGATTTCAAAACTTAGCCGCGGTACAACTACAAAACAGAAAAATGATCCGGTTATTCTAGTCCAAGGCACAGAAATAAGTACACAAACCCCCGCAGGAAAGCAGCATGTCAACACACCCTTTTAACTGAGAATCTGTTATTGGGGATCGGCTTCGTGAGAAAAGTGACACCTTATGCTCGACCGACATGCAGGTCGCACGACGTATTGAAATCATGTGACGACGTCAAGCTTGGGTGTCGTGTGATGTCAGTGTTACATGACGTGACTTGATGTCAAGTTTGGGTGTCATGTAACATGATATGCTGTGACATCACAAGGCCATGTGACGTCACCGGACAGCGGTCACATGACCTCATGCGACGTAGCACACAGCATGTTCCCGACTTATTTGCAACAAATTTTGTGCATCTCCTAGTTTACTCGATATGATCAAGATATGCTCAAATCTTCAGAACACCATCGAGCAACATTGGCAGCCACCATTTCTCAGGCAAAAAGCACGCGATTGGATCTGAATTTTCAGAGAACGCCGACACAGCACTTGCTCTCGATACATGCTGAGCCAGGTGTGCCCAATGCCGATGCAGCCCTCGTGTTCTATACACCACGCTTGGGTACATGCCCAAATAATGGTAAATCCAGATACAGTAAAACCTCGTTATAACAAAATGGGATATAACAAATTAATGGATATAACAAAGCAATCATAATTCCCCTTGCTTGCTAATAGGGAAGAAATGGACATTGGCTATAACAAACTAATGGTTATAGCGAAATAATTATGATCGCTCCTTCAACTTTGTTATAACGAGGTTTTACTGTAATCGGTGCAGCAACTGGCACACACTTTTTTTTAAAAAGGGTTTATTCCACAACAGCAATAGCAACTCAAAGAAATGCTTTTGAGGGTTAAAGATACCCTCACAATCACTATATCACAACTGACAATCTACTCTAACAAACAGCACTACAGTGCAACCACATGGTAAAGTCAATTTAGACACACAAATATATTTGCTACATTTGTATTGTTTTAGGGGTGGGTACATACTGGGTTGACTTGCAATTCAAGAGAAAGCCACGCCATGCCAGCTTCCTTTGCAGTTTTGACGCTAGGAATCACACTGCACCATTCAATTCAGGACACCATTCGTACGCTCCTAGTATTTTTATGATGCTAGAACCTCAAATGCCTGGTTTCGCACGACCAGTTTATAACAACTTTACTCATATGCGATTATATATAGGAGTGATAAGAATCCAAAATTTAAAATCATTGATCACACGCCCCTTTAGGTCAGAGTTCTCTTCCAATGAGACTGATTGCTAAAAGAGACAGCATTTCCCGACTAGGTCACATCTGTAAGCGAGACAGCTAGCTCCAGGCAATGAGCCTGACACCCCTCCTCACTGTTTGGTGTTACGCAGATCAAGGCAGACAAGTCCAACGCGCAATTGCCAAGAATTCTAGGCTCAATAGTCAATATAATGCGGCTTTATTACGAGGATACTTTGAAGCGAGCTTCCCCTCACCCAGATTGCCAACTTTCGCAATATAATATGTAGTATTGCAAATAACAAATGTGCGAAGATTCTATACAGCCCAATCGATTCACGAGACAGGGCTGCTCAAACACTTCGCTCGGTTACTCTAGCAGAGCTCAGGAAAGGCACCGACACAAAAGTGAACACGTTGGGGCCATGCTGTATCTCTGCATGAAGATTGAAGACGCTTGACGAGGCTTTTGACGCGGCACACGCTAAACTCCGTTTCACGTCGCGATAGACGGTAATGGACACCACAAGCCACCGTGGCCAAGTGAGCACCGTAAACGCGTAACGTGACCACGCGTCCCCCATACGCCTCGCGTCCAGTGCCTCAGAGGCCACGCGACTGTTACGTGGCACTGAATTTGCTTTGACGACCCGTTGTGTCCTTTCAGTCCATTGCACGGTCATACGGAGTGCAGTCAGAAACCAATGCAAAGCAGCAAACCCCGAGATGAATGAACAAACTTACGGGTCCCCCGTATTCGATGATGTCGTCAAAGACGCACAGCCCCCACTGGTGGTCCGGCCACGGCCGGTCTGCACCCTGCAACGACGTCGGTGTCCAACACTGAGGTGACCGCTCTCGCCCGTCGGAATGCAAAACACGCCAAGTCGCGGAAACTTGTCCAAGGTTCCTATGCGGCCTGAGACAGGGTTGGTGGTCGACCGGCCGCTCAAACACCTCAGTACTGTGATGTAGCAGAACTCAGGAAAGGTGCCGACAGGTGAAAAGGACTGGTCGCACCATGCTCTTACTCTGCACAAGCTAAGTATTTTTTTTGTCTTTCTGGACGAACAAGTAATTGCTAGTATGCTGGCAAATGACACACACCTCGCAAGCGCCGCCGGCAGTGGCATTATTTCACGGGAGAACAAAAACGGACTGCAAAAACTGTGGAACGTAATGCGAGGAATTGAGGTGGCAGCACTGACAATGACAAAAGGAGGAAGTAAGGTAGCAACGAGGAGAAAAAAAGTTGCTACGTGCACTAGTGGTACGAGTTCAAAAATGCGGCGAACAAAAATTAATATGCCGTTTCTACCCCAAGTGCAACTGCCGCAGAAGTCAAAGCCCCCAAAGTTGACCCTAGAGCCACTGAATAGGTTACAGTTCGGTGTAATGACACATCAGTCATCTTGTTGCTCAAGAGCAGATGCAGGTCAAAAGGTAATATTCTGCAAAAAAAAAAAAGTGATTTCAGGTTACTATTTTCTAATCTCGATACTTTACGTACATAAATAATAAGGACTGATTATGATAGCAGAATTAGTTGATTACGCACTTGAACAACTCCCGGCAACTCAGAAGGGCCTAAATTTTTGCCCTTTTCGTGTGCATGGCTCTTCAAATTGTGACATCACCCACCATCACAGGTATGTTGAGAGGTAGGGCCAGCCATTTTCTCTCCGCCGCAGGCTTCCGTAACTTACATAAGCTAGGAGAACGCCGGGAGGGGACGGTCAAGGAAATTCGGGAGCCAGTGGAACTTCCAAGGGTAGTTGAGGACCCATGCTCTAAGCATAGCCTATTAAAGGACACATGCAAAGGAAAAAAACATTTTTTTTTAAACGGCTTAGATGGAAAAAGGACGCCATAAAACGATTTTACAACGAAGAAAAAACATTTTTAGAGCTATATTTACGGCGCAAAACGAATTTGTAGTTGGCGCCCGCGGGCACCGCGGAAAAGTGGTCTGTATTTATTACGTGACTGGTCTTTACTTATCACGTGGTGCTTGCGCTCTTTCGGAAGCTTCCTATGGCCTCTAAAAGTAACTTATTCATCTTTGTTTGAAGTATAACGAAAAACTAAGACGAATAAGTAACTTTTAGAGCCCAAAGGAAACTCCTGAAAAAGCGCAAGCAGACGTGATAGACCTGTGCGCCGGTCAGACGACGGCGGCGGCACCCCGAAGCAGACGAACTTGTGCGGCGGCGGCGACGGCGGCTTGGAGAAACGCGTTAAAGCGGCGTTCGCACAACGCTCAGCGTGCGGCGGCACGCGGGCCTACCACGTGACCAGCAGCGGCTCCCGCGAGCGCCAACTACAAATTCGTATAGCGCCGTAAATATAGCTCTAAAAATTTTGTTTTTTCGTTGTAAAATCGTTTTATGACATCTTTTTTCCATCTAAGCTGTCTAAAAAAAATGTTTTTTTCCTTTGCATGTGTCCTTTAAGGCAAAAGCTTTATGTGTCTTATCCTTCAGTCGACCTTCAAAGTCCTTGAGCAAAAACACGTCATCGACACGAAAGGTACCAAAACGTTTATATGACCACTTGGGCGAATTAAAGGCAATGAAATAAAGAAGGATGACAAAGCGAATTAAGAGGAATCGAAGTGAATTAAGAGGAATTAAAGTGAAATAAGAGGACTACAAAGAATAGCCTGCTTGAAATCTGGAAATAAGACATGAAACGAATAAAGAGAATGTGAAAAAAGAGAATATAAACAAAGTAAATCATGTGTCCGTTTTTAATGCATCGGCGCTTGGGCTTTCGCCTTCAGGGTCGTCTTAGGAACACAAGGGACCCTGTGAATTTCTTTATTGGCTCTATAGTTCGACAGGTTAAGAATCTGAGGGAACCTCCTCCAATCTCTTCGCACTTTACCAGAGTGAATGCTGGGGAGGTCGCCTCCTCTTCGGTGTTCGCTTTGCTAAGGTGGAAAGAGGTAGGGGGAGCTTCCCTCGAACTCTTGACCCTCTACTGACTATAGTCGCTCCCGTTCGAAAACGACGGAAAGCTCTGGGCGGATGGACTCTCACCAGGAGCCTGGCAAAGTGCGGGAGTAGCCGGTCGAAGTAGGGGAACAGAGCCTCCTTGTAGCAGGTGAAGAGAGAGCGCAGGATGTCTGCCACCTTGCTCAGCAGGAACACGTCGTCGTCGTCCTGAAACGGTGTCGCGCCAGTCACACTCTACGCCATGGGTCAAAACTCCCCACAGCTCTCATTCGACCCAAACAAAATATTGCCGTGCGATAACTGCCCACGCTTAGACTTCTATTCACATAGAACCAAAGCCACGGTTAGCTCGAGTGGCCAATCGGCCTGCCCTAGTTGAGCCATGTGCAAAGATCCTATACAGCCCAGGTCAGGGAAAAGGAACACAGGGCTGCTCAAACACTTCGCTTTGTTGCTGTAGCAGAGCTCAGGAAAGGTACCAACAGAAAGGTGAACATGTTGGGACCATGCTGTATCTCTGCACAAGAAAGTCCGGGAAAGTCGTGCAACTTTGGAAAGGACAAAGATTTAACTTAAGCTTTCAAATTCAGTTTCTGCATAGCGCTTATGGAGTTAAAAGTGCTTCTGTGCCCGCGACATTTAGCCACAATTGTGATGTCACGCCAATGATGTCATCAGCGTTCTAAAAGTTCCACCGACAGCGACGTCACATCATATGGCCACACATGATGCAACACCATGATGTCCCCGATTCCACATCATGCGGTTATGTTACGCAAGATCACGTGACTACATGCCTTCCTGATGGTCAGGTGATGCAGCGTCAGCTGACACCATGATGCTACAGAGAAGTTCTAAACGAAAGGCATTTAGAGCACCCTAAGGACGGACAGGCTTTTTCCAGTACGTCGAAGCCGGGGTACCTCCTCCAGGAGCTCCTCTTCGACGAGCTCGTCGTAGTCCTCGTCCTTGCGCTTGAGCTGCCGCTCCTCGGCCCGTTCAAAGTGCTCCTTGAGGAACTTGTCCAGCACCGTGATGAGCGAGTTGAGCTGCTCCTCCGACAGGCACTTCGAGTTGAGCACCGTCACACACTGCAGACAGCAGACAGCGCTCGTCACCACACGGGCGCACTACGACAGGCCACAGAGCAGATAGGGCACAGCCTAGTCTTTTCCTAAGCTATAGGAAACTTCAAGATAACCACAAACTTCACGCAGCAAGCTCCATAGAAAACCTGCACAGTCAAGCATACTTTGTTACAACTGTTTAACAAACAAGCTGCTCTAAACAGGTTCAAACTTTACACAGTAAGCTACACAAAAAAGAAGAAGAATTTGTTTGCTGTCGCAAACTTATCAGGGCTAAGGGACTGAAGCGCCAAATGCTCACGTAACTTACTCTAAAAAAGTGAAAGCCGTTTACAAATCCCTGTAACGCCGAATTGGAGCGCAGCTCTTGAGGAGGAGGAGTGAAGGGTACTGAGGGGAGGGTAGACCCCTCCCCCTTCTCCTCCTCCTCCCCTCATTCTTTAATATGCTCCGGGGGGGGGTGTCACGTGACTTCGGGGAGGGGGTCACGTGACCTCGGGGAGGCGTGACCTGGGGGTGACCTCAAGGCCACGTGACCCCAAAGGTGACCCCCACGTGACCTTGGGGTCACGTGACCTGGAGGGGTCACGTGACCTCGGGGGGTCACACGACCTCAGAGGGGTCACGTGACCTGGGGTCACGTGGGGTCACGTGACCTTGAGATGACCTCGGAAGGGGTCACGTGACCTTGAGGAGGCGACCACGTGACCTCGGGGGTCACGTGACCTCAGAGGGGTCACGTGACTTGGGGGTCACGTGACCTTCAAAGGTCACGTGGGGTCATCTTGGGGTCACGTGACCTTGAGATGACCTTGGAAGGGGTCACGTGACCTCGAGGGGTCACGTGACCTTCAGGGGGTCACGTGGGGTCACGTGACCTTGAGATGACCTTGGGAGGGGTCCCGTGACCTTGGGGGTCACGTGACCTTGGGATGACCTTGGTTACGCCGACGCCGACGCCGACGGCGACGGCGACGCCAACGCCGACGGCGACGGCGACGCCAACGCCGACGGCGACGCCGCTCAAGCCGGGAACGGGCCCCTAAGAGCTGCGCTCTAAAACTTGCAGGCAGTCACTTTGGGTACTAAGATCATTAATAAAAAAAAGCTAATCCAAACAGGCTCAGCTCAAAAGACTTGTAGACGATAGACCATAGTTCTCAGGATTGTTAAACGAAAAAGCTGGTAGCTACTTTGAACAGCTTCAAACTTCACACAGCAAGCTAAACCAAAATCTTGCAGACAGTCAACAGAAATTGTTAAGATTGTTTAACAGACTACCTACAGTGATGTCCCGTTCACCCCAAAACTCGTTCGTACATCCTTTGCAAGGCGTGTCCGCAGAAAGCGACCATGTGGGCATTTTGCAACGGCGGCCGCCGGTAGGGTTAAAGGGGGTCGAAGGAAGGAGACCATTCTTCCCACGATTGCGTGGGTTTTTCGCAAAAGTGGCGGCCTACAACAGGAGGGAGGGGGGGTGAAGGAGCGATACAGAGCCTTCCCGTGCGCGAGGAACGAGGACGGGGAGAGCACTGCTTCTGCTGTAGAGTAGGGTTTTGCGTTCATACGTGAGCATTGTTTGTCGGGAAGGCGTGCTAAGAGCTACCGCCGTAAAGTGCATGTATTTACCCAGTTCGTCCCCGAAAGGTTTGTTTGTGTTAGCAAGGTATCCATTTTGACAGGGCTCGCATTAATTAAGAAACGAGTGTACTTTGAGTAGCCTCACTTCAGGTGCCAGGCAAGACGGGAGAGCCACACAAACAACAAAGACAATCCAAATTCATCAACACATACCTGCCAACCTGTGGACTTTCAAATTCGTAAAACCCGCGGCTGCGGGGTGTCGCGAAGCGATGCCACTGTGCGCAACACTTAAACCACACGTGCAAGTGCTAGAGAATCCAAACTTCTCTCCCTTTGTGGAAAGCACGAAAATTCCAATGTGTAGGACTTCAAGAACACCAGAGAGTACCTCTTTTGAGGTTTGAAGTTTGCCATTGCACCGCGAAGCCACCGCGACCATAGGAATGCTCCGATTTCCCATGCAACAAACACAGACGCCCCACTACTCGCCTCGATAATGGCCTAAACAGCGAGGCCCAACCACGTCTGAACACGCTGAACCACGAGCCTTCCTACACCGTGCGCCGCCGAACACACAAACAAAGGCTCTGGGCTTTGGATTGGTTTTGGATCCGTGGCCACCGGATAGACAGATTGTATAAAACACGACGCTGCCGTGGACGGTACCTATCACCCTCTTGTGGCGGTGCTAGGTACCGTCAACAACAGTGTTAAAAAAAAAAAAAAAATGTAAAAAAACAATTAAAATATTTTTATATAGTTCTCTTTTCGTAAAATTTGAAACGAAGATTCGTAAAATCGTAAGATTAGTTCTAATTCGTACATTTTACGAAAAATTCGGAAGAGTTGGCAGGTATGTCAACACACAGCATCTACAAGTTACACATTCTCACGTTCATCCCCCTTCAAGTGTGCTCTCTTCCACTTCCTGCATCGCACCCACACCTCACACGTGCCAAGCGTACAAGTCTCGAGCAATCCGTACCTGCGCAAAGCTCGACATGTGGTCCGACAACACCTCCTTCTCGGGTTCTCCGTCGATGGCGCTGAGCAGCTCGGGGCAGATGTACTGCCACATCTCGATGACGTAGGCGTCCCCTCTTGTCTTGGCACACTCCAGCAGGTACGGCAGGCTCTCCGCCGCCGCCGACCGCACAGGTGCAACCCCCACGTCAAGGCAACGTTCCGTCGCAGAGACAACGTCCAAGACACGCACGACCAAAACTCATACCCCAGAGCCACGCAATGAAATGTATGTGCGAAAAATCTGGCCAGTTCGCCTTTGCCTCCCCGAACTGTACCTTTACTATGATGTCTGCAACGCGTCTCCGACTGGAGTTTTTACCAAATCTTGAAAAAGGTGGGCCCTCTATTTCCATTCAATGACGTCGCATAAGTGTAACGCCGCTGCCTGTCGCGATTCTCGCAGTGTCAACACGGCGGAGGTGGGTGCGCCAGATGTCTGCTCCGCTGAGGGTTGCTCTACAGCTTGGCAGTCCGCAGAACCTTCGGCAACCAGGAGTTGGAACTCTGCGCCGAGAGCGACGCCCGCATTCGCTCACACTTTTTGGTGGGACTTCTAGCACGAACCGCGAGCACTGCGACATCTTTAAGAACTATGGAAGCGAGAAGCCGCGACAGAAACATTGGAAAGGCTCAAGAACGTTAGGGTTACCCTACATACTGAAAAAGAGTGTCAGTGGACTCTGCGTTCTTAGACGGACATTCCAGTCAGGTCTTACTTTGGTCCTCTGGGGCTTTACGACTTAAGACAAGCTCCTACATTACAGCTTGGTTGAAAGAATGGCAAGAAAGTGCAGCTTTGGCGAGAATGCACAGTCCCGCATTAAAAGAAAAATTGTCGGTAACACCGCCGCGCAGATTGTCGTCGAAATGCAACGACACTTTGCACCATTTCGTACTGCATAAACACTTCATCGTACTGCTTAGGAACCGCCCCGAAAATTTCAGGAAAGGATTTTGTCGACGTCCGTCACATTTAAAATCAATTGACGCAATTTTTCGATCTAGCTCTCTACTTCCCACGGACAGGCCTCCCATGACCTACCAACAACCTTTGTTGTGCCATTACTGTGACTAAAATGTACCTCCGTCGCTACACGCATATGAACAGAAAGGTCGAAGCCGCCAGCTCGCACCCCCTGCACGTTTTGTAATGTCGGTGAGCAAAAGAAGCGTTGTCACATTTAATGACGTCGGGCTCACAGTCTCAAGCTTGTTGGTTCGATTCCCTTTGATGGACGTTCGGAATTTTGATCTTTCGTCTTAATTCTATTCTTGTCACACTCCCGTGCACGTGTATTCGTTTCGTTGGTTACAAGCAGAAGGACGGACACGAAGGTGTGTGGGTTTCACTCGTAAAAGACCCTGAAAGGATATCATCGTGGAAGTAGAACTTGAGCATGGGCACCATCAACTTGACCACCTCCTCGGCGTACGAGGCAAAGCCGTCCTTGAGCTCCCGGGCGTAACATACCAGCATCTGGCAGGCCGTCGCCTTCTCCTCCAGCCCCACCGTGCGGATGCCAAAGTTTTGCTGCGTGCAAAGAGTCAAAATAATAGTCGAGACAAGGTCTCGTGCATTTCGGTCACTTCGGAACAGCGGGCCATAGACGCGTACGTCAATGGTCCCGACGGGACTAATTACTGGCGACGCTTTGATATACAAACAAAAGCTGGAAAGCATGATGTTTATGTAATTAGTGCAAAGGTGCTGCCAGCTGGACAAGAATAACGATAATCATCATTGGAGAAGGGAAACAAGGCAGACAAAGCACAAACACAAATCTCCAAACACAGCTAGGTGACCGGTGCGCAACTAAAAAAAATCTGCCTGGTACTGGTATCGAACCAGGGTCCCATACCAGGACCAGGTGGATATTTTAGGTAGCGCGCCAGTCACCTAGCTGTGTTCGGAGATTTGTGCTTGTCCCTTGTCCGCCTTGTTCCCCTTCTCCAGGGATTATTATTGTTATTCAGGAAATCATTACTTGCAAGGCCTATATCTAGTGTTTTTCTAGCTTTATTTTGCACAAAAACATTGGCATTGCACATTGTATAAAAATATATAAAGTTGAAGAGCACTCAAACTTCAACTTGTTGCGGCAAAACAAACGCGCCTAGCCTGTTGTCCGCTTTCTTTTTCTGCTTTTCATTGCTCTCAATCTCATTTTTTCTCTTGGAGCTTATGATTGGCTGCGTTCCGATCCCATCTTTACCCCCACAGGCTGCACAAATCGGGCGATACACGACTAGTCGTTCCTCGGATGCGTGAGCCAGCCCGGGACACAATAATGAGAATGCAATTGGAGCAAAACACGAGGTGCTCCAAAGAAACAAGCTTTATTACCGAGGGAGCGTTTTGTGCAGCTTATGTGGCACTGAACCGGGCATGCGACCGTGAACGCAGACAATGAATGATGAGAGACAGGGAACCATCATTTAGTTTTCTAACGAAAAAATACATTCCAGAAATGCAGTAGTGATTGTATATTGCGGCAGCCTATGCGAAAATACGACGGAGAGTTAGTGGAGCAACCAAGCGATGCAATGTTCGTTTGCCATGGTTGCTCAGTTGTATCAAGCCCTTGCGACATGGTAAAACTCTACTACGCCCGTGGTCCTAAACTCTGTTCACATCTAATAAAATAACCTTTCTCGAAGAAAAAAGAAGGAAGACCAGCGGCGCTGTACTCGATACACTGTGTGCTTTGTCTTCGTCGTCGTCTGTTTTTCTTGCTGTTTCCTACGATGAATTCTCACCAATGCGCCCAACTATCCATTCTTCTATTATAGCTGGAAAGGTTGCTGCCATCTACGAGCGATGGCGGAAACCATACTGGTTGCTGTGTGCTTGATGCCGTCACTTATAGATGGCGGTAGCTGCCAGGAAGGCTTGTGTCGACATACACGGACACAATCCTGGGGAACCTAGCCCTTAATAGCTCTGCTGTAAAAAAAAACCTTAGACAGCATGTTTTTGGGACTTGTAAATAAGTTTGACCTTTTTTTTGAAGTTTGGAAGCACAAATTCTGAGTCACTTGCAACTTGAAATATTAAAAGCACAACCAGACCCAATTTTTTATCCTCATCATAGAAGCATCATATTGAACCAAATGTTTTACATATGCTCCTCCATCCTGCATGCTAACAAAAAGCGTGAACTTGTAGTTAATAAGCGGCTCCCTCATTTGATTTTGCTGACGAGCCAGTAAGAATACAGTAGGCTCGCGATAATTCAAACTCGGATTGTTCATACTTCAGGTTAATTCAAACAGATTTGAAAATTTTGGTTGTCCCGCTATGTTTTTAATGTATTTATAAGCCGCTTAATTTGAACGGCATTTCCACTTAATTCATACTTTTCTTTTTCCTGTACGATGTTTCTACGGTCTAAATGGAGCCATTTTCGGTTCTTGTCTGGCAAAGTTACAAGCCGTAGCCGCTAGATTATTGAATCCAATCCAGTCCACCATTGTCTTCGATACTTCAATGTCGTGTGTGCTAGGCCTAGGCAGCAATGCACTTTGCTTTCGCTCATCATCGACATGGCTTTACATGGAAAGTATAAAGCACTTTCGGTCAAGGAGAAACTAGCTGTCATTAAAGAAGTTGAGTCAGGCATGAAGAAAACCGAGGTGGCGTTCAAATATAGCATCACCAAAAGCACGCTAACAACGATCGTGAAAGCCAAGGACAAGCTTCGGGAGAAGGCAAGCAAATTTGCACCAGACCAAAAGAGGCTTAGAGAAGCAGCACACCCGGAGCTGGAAGACGCACTTCTCTTGTGGCTAAAGCGAGCACGGAGCTCCAACCTTCCTGTGAGTGGGCCGATCTTGCGGGAAAAGACTGATGAACTGGCCTCACGGATGAATTTAGAAAGCTTCAAGTGCAGTGATGGCTGGATCTCGCAGTTTAAGCAACGGCATGGTTTGGCATTTAAGACTGTCAGCGGTGAAGTGGCAGCGGTGGATCTAGGCGTTGTCAGCAGCTGGCAGCAAACCCCAGGTGACATCTATAACGCGGACGAGATGGGTCTTTTTTGTAAGTGTTTGCATAACCAGACTTTGTTTAGTCGTGGTGAACGCTGCACCGGAGGCAAGCTGAGCAAAGAGAGAGTGACCGTCATGGTATGCGCAAACATGGACAGAAGTCACAAGCCTGAACTTTTCCTAATTGGCAAGGCGAAGCATCCGACATGTTTCAAAGGCATCCGAATGCTTCCAGTCATGTATGCTTCGAACACGCGCGCCTGGATGACCCAAGCTCTGTTCGAGAAATGGCTGCGCAAGCTTGATGGTGAATTTAAGCGTGCCAAGAGGAAGGTCCTGTTTGTGGTGGATACCTGCCCAGCTCATGGACATATTGAGGGACTGGAGGACATATTGAGGGACTCCCAACACCACAGCTGTTTTTCAGCCCCTGGACCAAGGGGTGACAAAGAACTTGAAAGTGTACTAAAGGAGGCAGTTTCTACAGAGAATGTTGCTGTGCATGGACAATGACAAGCCATACACCATCACACTTCTTACTGCCATTGGCATGCTCTCGGATGCATGGGACTCAGTGACTGCAAACACTATGAAAAACTGCTTTCGACATGCTGCTTTTACCACTGACTGCATCGAGACTGCACCTAGCAATGATGACCACGACGACGTCGAGGATGAGGCATCCTGCTTTCTGGCCTGGCATCCTGCTTTCTGGCCTTGAACCACATACTGTGAACGCCAAGTTGGCGGAATATGCTAGTCTTGACGACAATGGGCGTGTTTGTCGTGATGACTCATTAGAGGACATAGTACAGGAAGTAATTCCAGCACAGTGCAGCAGTGAGAGTGAAGGTGACGATGAAGAAAGGGGTGACCCTGTACGAACTGTCACAGCTGCAGAGGCCTTTGAGCACATCGCTCAGCTCCGGAAGTTTCTGTCTGCAAAGGAAGAGTCCCGTAAAGAGCTACTTGCATTTGTTGGTATTGAAAATTTTGTTTTGAAATCTCCATGTGCAGACTAAACAGTCCACAATCGACAACTTTTTTGCCGGATGAATAAACTTAACACTTTCACCAATGTGTTATGCCTGTACTTGCTTATCATTAGGCCTATGTAGAGGAAACTGGCAAAAATCATCATTGTATGTGTAGCTATCCATGTAACCAATCATAATGTTGTCTAGTATCATATTTAGATGAATTTCTGATAAATCAAACTAAAATCTGTGACTTTCTGGAGTTTGAATTAATGAGTCTACTGTAATATTGATTATCAATAGCCACCGAACACAGTATAAAAGAAATATTGGGGCTTTGCAGAGATTATACTGTACCAGACTTTGATCTGCACTGGTGAATTACGAAGATAAAACACTTAAAACATTGTGCACATTTTTTCCCCTCTGGATATAAATCAGATTAGGCCCCTGCATGCCAGTGATACCCACCTGATCACCAAAGCTGACAAACTGCCAGTCTTCATCCCCTTCCACAACCTTCATGTCTTCACCTAGGAAAGAAGAAAAGAAAATGCTAGTTACATAAATACGGAGGCAAGGTAACAAACAAAAAAAGAGAAACAAACGTGGAGAAAAGTCTTTCCAATGTCAGTGTCCAAACTTGGGTCCTACAGATTGCACACAATAAAGAGATATGTTCACAATGATTAAAATCGTCACACTCCTATCATACAAAACAAGGTGTCCTTTGTGCCATTTGGGCAAAGCTCACCACACCCTCCAGTGCCAAAGGCACATTAGAGAAATGGCAACAACGTAGCCACAAAGCTCATTTTCCGAAAGATTCAAGCATTACCTAGAAGTCAAAACAAAGCTCTGTAGTCAACCAGACCTTGGGTAGGACGAAATATGATACAGCATGTGAGATGAGAGCGGTATGCCATGATGTGTGTGTGATGTGCTGTGATGCGTGTGAGATGCACTGAGATGTGCATCTGATATGCAGAGATCTGTGTATGATGCAAAATGTATGTGCGTGTATGCGCGCGCACGAGAGAGAAGTGGTACGTTGACGACGATATACGAGACTCACTGTCCATGAGAGCGATTTCCGGCTTGAGAGAGGCCGCCTTGAGAACGGGACCCATGACGTACGGGAGGTACGGCTCAAACTGCTTGCCCAGAATCTTGCAGATTCTCGCCCATGCAGAGATCATGTAGGACAGCTGAAGGAGAAACACGCAGCAAGACGAAAAAAGGAACACGTCAGCCCCTCGCGCAACGAGGCCACACATGGCCAGAAGGTGCATGACACAAACCTGTGGGTTGTCTTCACTGATTTCAATGTCTCCGGTCTGTGTCTTCAGCAGCATGTCCATCACATCGCTAGCGTCGGCCACGAACTGCGGAGAGGCGCGGGTGCGGCAAAACAAGACAATTTTTACTTTCGAATCAATATCAGATTTGGGGGTTTTACGTGCCAAAACAACGAAGGAAGAACAACGTTACCACATCCCGGCAAAGGACCGGGGATTAAACGCGCAACTGAAATATCGGCTCCACGGCACTTCCCTGCAATAAGCCTCCGTCGGACCGCTCGCACCTCGGCCAGGGTTTGAATTTTGCGAGGCAGTACGGCGATTCTGACCAATGCTACAGATGTAAAAGAACCCCTCCTAGTGCAAGAACCTTTCTGCAAAGCTTAGTCTTCGCCTTTTAGACCGTATGAAAGCATGCATCGAGATTGGGTTGAACAAACGAGTAAAAGAGAGTTCACCTTTTCTCGACCGACGGCAAGGCCGATGAGGCTGACGCACTCTATCGTCTTGCCGCGCAGAAGCTGCAGGTCGGGCGTGGAAGCGTTCTGGATGATGTACTTGAGGCAGGGCATGAACCTACAGATGCCACGGCAATGTCGAGGTACCGTTAAAAACAGCCCCGCCGCTCGTAAAGCAGAGCACACGAATTTGAATCATCCTCGTCTCCTTCCTGGAGACTGCACTCGACGCGGCGTTGATTAAATGAAATTAGTGCCATGAAACATTATACTGGTTTCATCGGGCTAACAAAGACCACAGAGCGCAGAACCGCACAAACCCCACTCTTTGCGTGGCTTGTGCTAATATTTGTTTTCTGTTAATTATCTATTTTTATTTTCTTTCTTTTTATTTTATTCAATATTTCTATTTATTTTATTAATTACTAATGATTTTTTGTTTATGTCTTGCTACCGCCGGCACATTTGCATCCAAACAAAATCCTTTATACCCTTCCAAACCAGCTGTGCCAGTAGCTTAGTGGCCATAATATCCGACTTTATATAGTTAATGTGTAACCTCAAGGCCGTGCAACCTTTTTGTTGATACTCGTTCATGGCGATTTTCTCATAAAAATTGACTCAAAAAAGACATTCCGAGTTAAAATACTCGAGAAAACTAGAGGTACCGAAGGAAGGAAGTCACCTGTCGTAGTAGTCGACAAACTTCTCCTCTGCACGGTCCGCCAGTGCAGCCAGCGTCACCACAATCTGCTCCAGCATCAGCTTGGTGCCTTTTTCCACCAGCTGCAAAGCAGACCGGAAAACTGTTCAGACACGCTGAACCCAAGATTCGATTATATGTTCAGCTGCTCCGACCTAACTGTCAAAGATAACAGTTTGCTTAAAGTAGAAGTTATGCCTGTTGAACTCTTTTTGGGCAGAGAGATATCAAGAGCCATTTCAAAACCGTCGAGACGAGAGCGTGAAAAAATGTGCAGACTTTTAGCCACATTTGCCGTTTCTTGACCGTCTGCGATTCGTGTAAACTATCGACGCCCCGATAAATGTCTGGAGTGTTTGATCCCCTCCAAACAATTTTTAACATCTCTGCTCAAAATCAACTGCAAACTTGCTTAGTTGTGAGAATATGTACAGAAAATACTGCATATAATCGTGTAAAAACTGCACTAAGGGCTTGACAGTGAATTTCTCAGGAGTGGCCAACGAAGATTTACGAGAGAAAGGTATGAATCTCGTATTCTATACAGGGAGCAGCTAGAAAGCTGTGTTCATTTGCTGCTGTCAGTGCAGGCCGTTTGCCATAATTACTTTCTTAAATTGCACAGCTTTTTCTCAACCCTCTCACCGAGACTCCGCAACTCGGAGAAACAGAGGGCCACGAACCACCAATGTTGATGACAATGATGCGCTATTACTTTAGTTGGAACATCCATTGATAACTGTATGATTGCTGATAAGACTATTAACACACTGAAGACTTTTGTTGGGTCTTTTGAATTCTTGAGCAAACAAAAGCATAAAAGAAGATAATTTTCCCAGCCGGCAGAACCTCCGAGAGAGGGCGGCCGATGTGCGAAGATTCTATACAACCCAATCGATTCACGAGACAGGGCTGCTCAAACGCTTCGCTTAGTTACTCTAGCAGAGCTCAGGAAAGGCACCGACACAAAGGTGAACATGTTGGGGCCATGCTGTATCTCTGCACAAAGATGTCCGACAAGGTATGCACTAGCTTACAAGCCACAAAACCATCTTCAACTTGGCTGAAACCCTTTTACAGCGGAGCTGCTAAGGGCTAGGTTCCCCAGGATCGTGTCCGGTATGTCGACACAAACCTACCTGGACAGCTACTGCCATCTATAAGCGACGGCGGCAAGCACACAACCAGTCTGGTTTCCGCCGTCACTCGTAGATGGCGGCAACCTTTCCAGCTATCATAGAAGAATTGACAGTTGGGCTCCTTGGTGGGAATTCATCGTAGGAAACAGCGCGAAAAACAGACAACGACGAAGAAGAAGCACACATAATGAGTGCAACGCTCGTCACGTTTGTTTCTTCGTCCTTGTCCGTTTTGTGCGCTGTTTCCTACGCTCTTATCAGTTTCAGTTTGGACTCATGATGGGTCGGCCGCGCGCCCTTTCGGGGAAAGGAGACAGGCTGCGGAAGGAGCGGCGACGTATGCAGCAGCACGAATGGGTCCGCAACTGCCGCGAAGCCGCTGTCGTCTCGACTTCCACTGCATCGAGCGCTTCAGATTCCCTTGCCAAACACGAGCACATCGCTCGCCTGGAATGCCGCCGCCGAGAACAGAACCAGCGATGTAAAGGGCGCCGACGAGCCAACGCCACGGATGACGATCGTGCCACGGAGGCCAAGCGCAAGCGTGAGGCCCAGCGACGACTGCACTCCACGCCGGCTGAACAGTTCCCGGGTGCGACGGCGAGGTTCCGGAAGGAGTTCATGGAGAACCCGTTTGGCGTCACGTGTGCCGTGTGCGACCGACTTTGGTTCGCTGGAGATGCATCCATGATCGGCGGCGTGTCAAACAAAAAGTGGGAATCTGGCGCGTGCGCGTTGCGGCAGTGTATCGAGTACCAGCTTCACTGATCTCCCTTTTCACGAAAGTGGAAAGGCTGAACGTTTTTTTAGACGGTGTGTTTTTCCTCATCTCTTCGCACTTTCCAATAGGAAAAAGACAGAGACTCCTTCGTGGAAATCTCAGGCTACACAATGACCCCTAACAAGCAGAAAAACCACATTTGGAAGTTGGGCAACTTATTATGTCTTTTTTAGCATACATTATTTTTATGCTTCGCCACAAAGAGCTGCCCACAAAAACAAGAGAATGTGATTTACAAATTTGGAACCTAAATAAAACATTCTTAGAGGCCACCAAGCATCTGTTAAAACGCTATAGCTTCCAATAATTCCATTCCTTTCAACACCTAGGAACGAAAACACTGGACCCACTCTTGGAATAAGAAACCGTTCCATTCCATTTGTGTAACTCCTTTACTGGGCACTTATTCATCGTAATTGAGAGAAACTACACAAATATAAAAATCGATTCACCAATTAAAAAAAAAAAGTAGAGTCCTTTTACTTCACGTGAAAATGGAAGACCAGCAAAGCTGTTATCTTTACGACTTCTAGGACGACGCCGAGAGGACGACGTCTAGGACGACATCTAGGACAACCTCAAGGACAACTTCTTGGGCGACCTCGAGGACAACAGTTATGACGACTTCTAGGATGACCTCGAGGAAGATGTCTAGGACGCCCTCAAGGATGACTTCTAAAACGACCTCGAGGACGACCTCAAGGTCAACGTCTAGGACGACCCCAATAACAATTTCTAGGACGACGCCTAGAGAAATTAAGCTTTTCCACTATGATGAAAATCAGAGTGGAAAGGCCCTAGAAAGGTTGCCGCCATCTATGAACAATAGCAGCAACCAGACAACCGGCAATCCGGTTGTCACTGTTGCTTATAGATGGCGGTAGCTGTCCAGAGTTTTGCGTCAACATTTGTTTTTCCGCGGAAACAATACTGGGGAAACTAGCCCTTAACAGCTCTGCTGTAAAAAAGTTTAAAGAGCCACTTTGACCAGAAGCTAGCTCTGTGCCAGCAGGCACAGCACTAGCATGTGGTCCTCGCTGAATATCGACGCAGCCCGCGTAAGAACCGAGCACAAGCCCATTCCGTTCCGAGGTTGTGGAAAAGCGGAACAGCTCCAGAATCATCCCAGCTCCAGAGCGGCAACTCCGCAACGCCGTCAGGGACCGAGCTGCAAAGTCGGAGAAAGCGAATGATGGCCCACCTCCTTCATCTTGCTGCTGAGCACAGCCTCGATCTTGAGCACCACGGCGTCCAGGTAGGGCAGCAGCACCGACTTGGGGCAGTCCTCGAAGAAGTTGACCAGGGCGGCCCCCGCATGGGCCTGCACCCGAGGGTGGGCGTGGTCCTCGAGGAGCAGGGCCAGCCCCGGGATGACCCGGTCATGGAAACGCTTCTCGAAGCCCGGCGAGAAGTCTGTCGCCATCTGGCCCAGGGCATTGCAGGCCGCATACCGTACCCGGGGGTGCTGCACACACGGACGTTCGTTCAACCCAACCCATGGGTAGAGCAACTTATAGCCTGCCATGAATATTGGTCTTGACAATAGAAAATAAATCGGGCAAACGCTCGCTGTTGGCACATTCTCAAATGACCAGCGCAAAGAGAAAAGATGGTGCTTCTTCTAGCCGGCGGAACCTCCGAGAGAGGATGGACAATGTGCGAAGATTCTATACAGCCCAATCCATTCACGAGACAGGGCTGCTCAAACGCTTCGCTTAGTTACTCTAGCAGAGCTCAGGAAAGGCACCGACAGAAAGGTGAACATGTTGGGGCCATGCTGTATCTCTGCACAAAGATGTTTGACAATGCATGCACTAGCTTAGAGGCAAATCTACAAAACATTCTTCGGCACATTTGGAACTCCTTCCCTTTGTCTCTTTGTGTTCTCCTGTGGGAAAGAGGCAGAGCGCACTTTCCTACGAACCACAGGAGACAAGATGACCTTCAATGGGCCACCAATGAGTCCAGCCCATGGGCCTGAAGAGAAAGTTCTGCACTTTTCGCACGGATATTGGACTGCCTCGGAACGGTGGGACATAGAGACAGATGCCGAAGGTCCCCGTGGACCCCGAATGCTAATGCCCGTGCCCCACTAGAGCGACAGACAAAGACAAAAGACAGCGACAAGCCTCAAACCCATGCAGCATGCTCGCGATGGTACCTTTGGCAGGCGTCTAGTCGTTCGGTGCTCGCGCGAAGTAAGCACGAGCGATTGCAAGCCTGCCAAAGATACCCTCGCGTGCATGATGCTCGTGTTTGAGCATAGCCTCCTTTACTCTACAAAGCCTCTCAAATCGCAAAAGACTGGTTTGAGGCTTGTCGCCGTCTTTTGTTTTTGTATGTCGCTCTAGTGGGACACGGGTATAATGGGGCTCTAATAAATGCAAAGAAGTAGTAAAGATATACCAAACTTTAATACTTTGCATGAAGCTGACCGACACAGAATGTGTTCTGCATTTGTGTCGACATGCTTCTTTCTGTTGCATCCATTTTGAACATTAAGCTTTTGGGGTAATCTGCTGGGGAAAGACACATGAAGACACGACGGATCTGTGCCAGTCGGGTTTATGCGAAGGATAAAGTTTGTATTTTTCCTTCTTCCTAAGCTTGCAGTAAGCTTTGAGACGTTCGTAACCCATTTTCTTCCTAGGCGACCATGCGAGTACATATAAGGGCTGAAATGACGCTCATATACTCCACTAGGTAGCTCAAGGGGAAGAGCATCAAACTACTGAGAGAGGATTCGACTGATTGATCCCCACAAAGGGACGACGTGATTTTTGCAAAACCACCTGGCCGTAATGTCAAGGTTTTTGTTGCAACATTTCACGACACTCTAGACATAGAATCCAGCCCTAAAACACATTCTGCCTTTACATCACTTGCAAAGTGGTTCCCTAGTCTTTCTTAGCTTTAGCTCCAAAAAGCGTGCATGCATGTGCATTCAAATGCATGCATGTGTGGCGCATACATGCGTGTCGTACATGCATGCGGTACACATGCGCAAGCAAGCGGCACACACATTACCAAGCTGAAAGTTTTGACTCACACAACAACGCGCACACAGGGCAAATCAGCCTCCCACTAATAACTCCTGCATGCCCTGAGTGAAGCCCTTATCCTCCCCCAAAATGGAACATTGAAAGTCCTTACTGGATCCTGGAGGTACTTGAGAATGCCGTCGATCATCTGCGGCAGGAGGGCCTCCATCTGTTTGTGGCAGCCCTCGCCCGCCGCAGACACCGCCATCAGAGCCGCATGCCGATGCCTCCAGTCCTCTGAAAGAATGAAGGCTCACCGGCGTAAGCGACCTCCAGCTGTGCCTCAACTTTGGCTCAAAAATTTCAAATAAATACTCAATTTATTTCAACAATTTACAGCAGGCACCTTAAATTTGGAATTCAGAGTTCCCAATGCTTGTCTTTCCTCTTGCGAGAAGCTAGACTTTATCGGAAAGAGATAAATTGATGCCAGATTTTAATTACCTGAATGCGAAAAATCTGACCCACTGCACCTGATAGCGGCAATAAAAAAGAAAAATATGGCGAGCCAAGGGAGAAAGCATTATGTTGCTTTGTATCTGAATACTGCCACTCCCAACCACATCTCAAGGATAGGAGGGGCAGGAAGGTTAGATTTTTCTTCCGAGAAATTAAGTCCTTACACCCGAGACCCTCAAGAACGACAAACAGAAACAACCAAAACCAACAAGCCCCGTGCACTTGGAGGATGAGCGCAGAGGTATTTTAAGCAGGTTTCTAATCACTCGTGCTTACTTCAAAGGCATGCGTGCGAAGGCCAAAGGTGCATTCACACGCATGCTGCATATTCTTGAGGCTGATCAGTGTCAGTAGTTTGTTCATCGCTCCAGAGGGCCTCGGGCGTTAGAATGGAAGTGGATCTGTACAAGTAAAGTTCAGAAACAATTATATGCTAATCAGCTAATTTATTTACTGAACAATTCTCTATAATGTTGTCTAAGCTCGAAAGCATTCTTTTGCCCTCCTGCACGAAATAGCGGTAACACACAGACAATGGTAAAGAACTGCGACCAGAGTTACGAAAGGCAAGGGAGACAACGTGCAAGGGAGACAATGGCGGGAAAGAATGAGCAAAGAGGCCTTGCGGCAGACGTGACTACTCAAACCTCCCCAGGCGCATCTGGTATTCAAAGCTGCCGGAGACACATGTCCGGTCATGTGGGGTGCTAATGAGACGCATTCGTCCACAAGTTTGGGGCGCACGTCACTCTAACACTCCGCGAAATGATGTAGGCATGGAAAGCTCGGAGAGCGGGCAGCAATGCAACGCCCGTCTCGTTTGATACACCTTTCCTGCCAGTCGCAACAACAACAGAATTACTCTGGTTTATCAGACTCCCAATCCTAAAGATGGCTTGTACCACGCTTGTAGCCATTCCTACTTGTTCTTGCGGAGAAAAACACATCCGGTCGCGTGAAATGTATGCCGCAGAAGGTACGTGCTCGGCAGTGAGGCCACGACGGCAACTGATGCGTTGTTAGTGCAAGCCTTTTACAGTGATGTCCCGTTAACATGGACACCCGTTCCCCCAAAAAAGCGTCCATAATGCAAGTTTTCTCTAACAATACAAAAATTAGCTTATTTACCCAGTTCATGCATGAAAATGTTGTCTACATAGCAAGGTTTTCATATTATTGGAGTCCATGTTAACGAGACATGACTGTGTTACAGCCAAAGTTCCGACGCTGAAGTGTTAAAAGGAAATGAAACCTCACCGCTTGCCAGCATCTGAGAAACGCAGCCGACGACTAGGGGAAGAATGGTCTTTCCACCGAGGCTGCAGGCCAGGCGATCCAGGGACGACTCTCCCACCACTGGATCGCTGCAGGGACAAGAAAAGGCAGGCGGAAACAGAATTACGAAGTTGCAAATAAGCAGCAGCATCGAAACAGGGGGGCAATTGCGGCCCTCCCCTTTTTCCCAACACCTTCAATGCCCCTGACGCAAAGTATACTACGTTACGCGCTGAAGTGGACTTGCACTTTGCTCTGACGAAAAACCACATAAAGGAGTCCTCCCGAAACAGCGACATTTCCTCGTGCCCTCATTTCAGCAGAGGCGGCAGCTATCGCCACGAGCACGCGCACTTTCTTTGTACATTTTTTTTTGTGTGGCGGTAGGACACGGGAAAATGTAAAGGTTTTTTCCCCGTTTTATGATGGGATGTGTACCAATCATCAATAGTAGGATGTATAGTACCAGACTGCAGCAGCACCGACCCAGGCTTGAGTCCCGCTGGGGTGTCTTTCTCATGTTCATTTTTTCGTGGGCCTTTGTTAGCTTTGCAACATAAACGCTGTGTAAAGCTCCCAGTGCATCGGTCGTCTATGACGTTCGTTCTCGAACGCTTGTTCCCGACACTCGTTTATGGCAAACTTCTTGTAGACGACTCCTAAAACACATTCTCCATTAAAAATATAGTTGCCTGGCATCACGCATATACACCCGCTCATATTTGATACAGTAACCCCTACACCTTAAAAGGGTACTCCACCGATATTTTGAGCTACCTCAACTAACTATATTTTCTGACTCCCCGGCCTATAGCCTTTCCAGTATGCTATTCAGCATCGCGAAATTCATAATAGGTATTGTGAAATAGGCAAATGAAAATAGTGCAAAAACCAATATTCAAATATTCGCGCACTTTTCAGTGCCGTGACGTCAGTGGCAGGCAGGCTTGCCAGTCAAGCAAGTAGTCTAAAAATAGAATATGCCAATCATTTGTTCCGTGCTGGAGCGCAGATGCGGGCGCGAGCTTCCAAAGCACTCATTTGACACCAAGAAACTGCATCAAATCTGTTGGGAACAACTTCTGTAGTCCAAAAAGTTAACCCCTGCCTTCCACTGACGTCACTTTGTTGTTGCTGCCAGTAGAGACTTTCAGTTTGAAAAACATGGTGAAGACCAAAACTGTAAATTCAATAACTTCGCGAAAAAACAATATTTTGACCTAATATTTGGGATACTATTTTAGCAATGTTTGTTGGTTAGTTTAGCGAAATTTCAAGCAAATCGGAGACAATGAAAAAACCGGTGGAGTACCCCTTTAACGACCAGCTAGGGTCTCGGGGTCATGTCAAGCAGGAGGAGCATGTGGGATGCCAATGAGACGCATTCGCCCACAGTGAGGGACGCACGTCACTCTGACACCCTCCGGTGTAATGTCGGCACGGAAGGCGGGAGAACAAGGCTGCCACACGGGTAGGCCCGTCCTGCTGCAACAGCCTTCCTGTCCAAGTAGTCAAATCGTTGTAACTTGTAACTTCCCAACAATAACTTGCACCTCTCTTTAAAAACAAAAATAAAAAGAATTAAGAGGGTTTAAATTACCCAAAAGATTAGAGTTCACAAGCAACAAAGGTATTGCCCTTAAAGGGGCCCTGCAATGACTTTTTGACTGGTTTTAATTTGCACCGAACCTGAGCGCACTGAACGTAGTAACTTAATCAAACTTTTCTTTTCTCGAATTTTGCTTTATTTTAAAAGTTATAGGCAAATTAGAATTACAAAAACAAGCAAAAAATAACCTCCTTCATGACGTAGTAGGTCCTGGCTTGAGTGGCCATGAACTATAGGAGGGGTAGTGAGCTCATCGAGCGTTCACGGTTGCCGCACTCCGGGTCAACGGCTCGAGAGGGCGCCACTAAAACAGGTGTTGGATAGGCTCTATGAAGCGGGCGGCCGGGGCGGCTCGCATTGCATTTGCTGCGCGATTAGACTATTTCGGCATAACACTTCATTGGCCACAAACGACAGCAAACACAAAGTAAAGATCAGTTCAGAACGGGAGCCACTTCGCGCTGCCATGCCGCCAAATGGCCAAATCGCTAGCAGGGCTCGCGCCGAAGGCCTTCGGAACGCTCGGAACCGGTCGGATCGTTGAGCCGGTATACGACCGCAGCGCCGCCGCATACATCCGGGGCTTTTCTACGCTGGCCGTTCGTCGTAGCCTCATCCCACTACTCTTTTCTAGTATGCGTCGCCTTTTCCACCGCCTGGTGGCGGGTATGTCGGCGGGTCATTTCTTGTTTCTGTACTTTATAAACTGCATTCGTTTCTTTTCTGATCTAAAATACTGAACAAAAACTTCTTTTATAAATAATTGAAACGGTTCGCACCACTTATATTTTGTATTTCGACTACGAAAAAGCTTTTAGCGGCTCTGACCAGTAGTAAGCCTAGGACCAAACACGTCACATTTTGCGCGCTTTCGGTACCGCGGGTCGCCCTTGTCGGTGGAGGTGGTTTCCGCGTCGTCCGGTTAAAATATGACGCACTGATATTTAGTTACTCTCTCCGTGCCCGCTGGCTTGCTCGGACCCCAAGATACGTGGAAACCGCAAAAAAGTTGCTTAAATATGATTGCAGGGCCCCTGTGCGTTAGTGAAAAAATCCGCCTGTTCTTAGTATCAAACCAGGCACCTCTCCCTTTCCAGTAGAGAGCTCTACCAACTGAGCTAACCTGGAGTTAGACGTCAGTTGAGCACACTTGCCTTGAAAAAGAAAGAAAACTTGTCTTGCACAAATGTTTTGATTGGACTATGGAGGTTAAAAGCAGTGCATCTCACAACATGTCTTCGAACTACACAAACAGACACTCTTTAAAATATAAACTAACCAAACCATCCGGAAACTAACACAACTCTGCAAGACACTGTCCATCCGCCATATTTATAACTAAAACATCAAACAATTCTCTAAAAAAAAAAATTTTTTTTTAATGTTTTGGATGTTTTAGATTTTACAGTAATCCTTCGTTATAACGAAGTCAATAAGACAGATATATAAAAGCAAAAGAGCCAAAAAAAACAACAGTGTCAGCAGCTTTTAAGGTGGACGGGAACACTGCGGAACTGTCTGATCGTACATTTAATCAAACAAACCTTGGTTATAAACATGCTGCGGCACCTTTACATAGTAAAAAAAAATAAGCAGAGTTTGCCGATAATTTTATTTGGGCATCAGTTCTCGAACTGCTTCAGGCATTGCATGAACACTGTCAGTGCCGCTGCACTCCCCTTTGTTTCGAAGCAGCCGTAGCATGTTTTGAGACTCCGCAGTCATTGGCGTTTCCCGAAGTGCCTCTCCGACGTCGCTTCGTGCTTACTCTGGCTGCACGCAAGGTCTAAAATCGCAGCATCAGTGGCAAGAACAATAAGGGGAATATCCGCATCAACAGGCGCTAACCAATCAAAGTTATCCTCTGTGGCTTTGCCAAGATGTTTTCACACACTTCTGTAGAGATCGATGCAGCTATGTAAATCGTGCGACGGCTCGGCAAGCATGCTTGCGAGACAAATCAGACGCGCTCGAGGCAGTTGGCGATCTTTCATCTTCGGGTCGCGGGCACACTTCTTCCTGCCTAAGCAACTTCTCAAAGCCGTCTAATATGCGTTGCCTGATCTGCGAAATGGTGGACAGTGCAACAGCCCATGCCAAAATGTTGAGTTCTGTGGCGATTTTGGACTTGAGCCGGCCATTTTTCCCAACCTCGCAGATCTAAGCAAATTTTGGTAAACATTCCCAATCTTCCACGACGCTCATGTGCGTGTACAGTTAAACCCGTTAATAACGAACAGCAGGAAATGGTACGATCGGTTCGATATAGCAAGTAGTTCGATATAGCAAGAACCGTTTACAACAAACTTCTACGATGCGTTCGTTGTAAGGCGAGAGCTTCTCTTTCTTTCTCATCTCTTCACTTCCGCCTTGTAACAATGCCATGTAAAGTTTTTTTGTTTGTTTTTTTGCATGTGTGCAGTCTTTTTTTTTTTTTTTTTAGCTTATCTTCCCTTCTGAATCAAACGCTCTGGGATGAAAATATGTATTTTTTGCTTTTCCTGTGTGTGCGTGCAGAGTATTTTTTTTGCCTTCTTTCTTCTTGAATAGCTCTTGTTCGCTGAATTTTGTTCGCAACTTGAGCTTTCGGGATTTTCTTTCCTTCCTAGTTCTTTTTTGTGGGAAGGGACAGGTCAGAAGACGATCGTTAGCATGTTTTTGGAAGACTTCCCGGGGGAAATAGTTCAATATAACCAATATATTGTTCGTTATAAAAAGTACTTTTTACATGCATTTTTATTTCAATTTTCTGTGAGTTCGATATCGACAATAATTCGCTGTACATGGGCTCATTCTAAACGGGTTTCACTGTAGTATGTCGCAGGCGTGCGCGTCGGGAGTTCCTGAAAGCATGATCTCCTCCTGGTTCCATCGCTCCGTCGACCCGATTTTGACAGGAGTTGGGCAGCGTTGGCCGCAGGCGCTGTGGGTAGCGTCAGAACGTTAACACGGGAGGGAGTCCCGAGCCGACACGAAGTCAGCGGCGGGCGGTCGTAATCTCCGAACCTCGCGGGCGGCGCACGGCGTACCCAAAGCCGGCCTTGGTCACCCACGAAGGGTCTAACGCTGCTCCCGCTGATTCTTGCCTGCGTCGGCGCGTCGGCACAGAAAGCGGCACTCTGCCAGCTCAGTGCGCTCTGCTCTCTGTCAACGTTTTACTCCGTTTTCCCAGTTTACCGTTTGCCTAAAAAAAAAGCGGGGAGGGAATGCAAGGGTGTTCGTGCACCTCTGTGTAGGCTTGCGCGTTTTCGGCACCTGGGCCTTCGGAAACAATGTTGTCGGCCGCCGATACACTTCGAATAACCCGGTTAAAAATGCATGCATTTTGGTCGGGACCACGTCGAACCGATTAAAAGAAAGCTATTTCATTATAACGAGGGATTATTGTAACAGAAAAAAATGACCGCATCTCCACGTGGTGAATGATGTTTAGAGGCCCTAGCTTTCCGCGATTCCGCGATTCCGCGAAAAATCACGGAATTAACGTTTTTTCGCGGAAATCCAAAAAAAAATTAAAAAATGTTGCTTTTGGGGGTTGTTTCTTCCAAAAGATGGCGCTACACGTTTCCAAAACGAAAGTTTAAGTGAAAGGTGGCAAAACGTGACGGAAAAGTAGTATTTTCTTATTAGTTAATGGCAAAACGGTTTATATTTCCTCATCGTCTTTTACTGTCGAAGAAATTAAATTTTATATTCGAATATTCTAACCTTATCAATAAAAAAAGAAAGATGCCTAGGTGGCGCAGCCGCCAACCATAGCCCAATAGCCGTCAACCGAGTCAAAGGGCTCGGCCGTAGCCGTAGTCATCAATCCATCCAACGTTCGCGCAACGAAACGTAGGGACTGTCGACTGTCGCAACGGACGCAACAGAAAGTGCGCAATTTTTTTCCGTTTTTGCTTTGTTTCCGAGTTTGTGATCGACATGGCTCCCTCAGGGTCTCATTTAAGCAAAAAGACAGCCAAAGAACGTGCTCGAGAATACAAGCACGCCAGCTTTTACGAAGATGGAGGAGTCCTTTTTTGCCGAGCTTGCGCGAGAGCAGTTGACTATCGTCGCAAGTCGACTATTGACGAGCACATCCAGAGCAACCGTCATCGTAAGAATGCCGAAACAAGAGACTCTTCCAAGCGAAAAAGTGGCGAAGAACCATCAGAAGACGTCGCTGGGGGCTCAGGAACACCGAGAAAGCAAAGTCGACTGCAGACGCTGGAATCGGCAATGACCGCTGGCGAGGCGAGGCACGACATTGTGCTCAAATTCCTGGATGCATTGATATCTGCGAATATTCCCCTAGAGAAGGTGGACAATCCGAAACTGAGAACGTTTCTACAGACACACGTACGGAACGGCGGGTCGGTGCCTGGATCTGATGCGCTCCGCCGACGACTTCCAGAATTGTTCGAGAAGCATGAGACAGCGTTGAAAGCTATGTTTCAAGGTACCACGGTGTCGGTAGTTATTGATGAAACCACCGATGACCGATCAAAATCTGTTGTGAATGTGCTGTTCGTCCAGTCAGCCAGAAGTGCGAGTGCTTCGCTACAACCTGTACTGGTGGAAGTTAAATTCGTGGATGAAGTGAACTCGTCCGTGATAGGCCGCATTGTAACGAGGACACTGACGAAGTACGGAATTGAATTCGAGGACGTGACGGGCTTTGTAAGCGATAACGCTGCTTATATGGTGAAGTCCTTTAAGGAGTGCATAAAGCCACTTTGCGAGTGTGCTGTTCACATTACGTGTGTAGCACATACAGTAAACATTGTCGGCAGCACATTGCAGGCATCTTTTCCCTTGGTGGACAAATTTGTCGCCTGTATGAAGAAGGCCTTCAGTCTGTCGAGTAGGAAGAGAGCTTTCTACAAAGCTCATCTGGAGAAGTGTGGGGTTGAGTGTGCCAAAACACCTCCAGCGCCTGTCAAAAGTAGGTGGAATTCGTGGATTGAAGCTGTTGAGCAGCATTCTGCTTACTTTGAGCACTATCCTTCTTTGCTAAGGCAAGTCTATGAAAAGTATGGAGACACAGCGTGTGTTGATTCTCTTCTGGAACTTTTGAATGAACACTCGATTGAGCTTAAGTACTGCATGCGATGCATTGCAGTGTTTGGCAAAAAAGTTGCAAGCCTGCTGAAAGCAGCAGAGGGTCAGCGTGTAGCCTGCCACAAAGCGTACAATGCTTTGTTTACACTTTGGGGATATTTGGAAGCAGCTGCACAGGAAGATTTTGAAACACAGCTGAAGAAAGAAAACATTGCACACGACGAGGCCCATCGGATTGCAAACAAAATGAAGGCTGCAATGAGTAAAGCGGCTAGCAAAGCTTTAGTATATTTGGAGAAGTCTGACACTTGGAAGTTCTTCAAGAGTGTGAGGTGCTTGGATCCTCTGCAAATCGGGTGTCTCTCGGAGAAGAGATCAGAGTTTGCAGGTGTGCCTGGACTTGGGGAGGACTCACTGGCCCTAGCTGCTGAATGGCAAGTTTACCTGAAGTCCGCCCAAGAACTCAAATCAAGTGACAGGGACTTGGCACCATTTCTTTCTAAACAAGAAAAGCCAGGTGAAGATTTTGATGTTCTGGCTTTCTGGGCAGGGATGGAACCCCTGACTCCAACACTTTCTTCCATTGCCCTTAAATACCTGTCAATGCCAATCAACTCAGTTGATGCAGAAAGGTCGTTCAGTCGATACGGTGACATTGCGTCCCACAAGCGACACTCCCTCAGTGAAGAGAGTACCAAGCACCATTTGATGCTCAGTCACAACAGCTTCCTTTTAATTTGATGCAAGCAAGCATCAGTGTTTAATAGCATTCAATAAATAAACTGTTACATGTACCTTATGTCTGTTCAATGTTACCGCAGAATTTTGCAGATTCCTCGATCTGTATTTGCAGAATTTCAAATTTTCCACCGCATAAAGTGAGGGGCTTTAATGATGTTGACCGGGGCAAAGCTTTGGTGGTGCTGGTCTGCGTAGACGCTGAGCCGCAACAAGCTGATCCTTTCGTTCGTTTCCATCCATGTCACAAAGAGAATGTGTGGTATTGAACGTGGTTATATACGCATTTGACCGCAGCACCCTCTCATCTATAAACATTGAGCCAATGCATGCAAAGTTTAATGCGATTATATACGCATTTGACCGCAGCGCTTTCTCCTGTATAGACGTTGAGCGGCTACATGCCACGTTTCATCCATGACATCCCCAGCTCTTGAGTTACTACCACATCTCAGAGCCCCCTACTCGTCCCGCAGTCGTGGCCGAGTGGTTAAGGCGATGGAATGGAAATCTATTGGGGTCTCCCCGCACAGGTTCCAATCCTGTCGACTGCGCAAACATTTCGTTTTTTCTTTTCATCATTTTTCTTCTTTTTTTTTTTTTTTCCCTACACGAGCACTAGCAAGATCGATGTGAGCACGGATGCCGGATGGACAAGGCTAGACCCTAAGAAGCTTCACCCTTAAAAAGAACAGGTGTGCACTTTACACTTGTGTAGAAAGATGGCACGAAACACGCGTTTGTAATTAGGGTGGCAATGGCCTCGCTCACCTGTCGGCGTCGTCCTCCGTGATCTCGTCCGTCACGGCCCAATCGGGGTCATCGCTGAGGTCCACCATCATTTGGAAGAGTTGTGGAACTGCAACAAAGAAACAATCCACCTGGATGCCTCCCACAAAACAGTAGCTCATTCAGGCTCACTCAAAAAGGACTCAACTAGGACGTTCCCAAGTGCTGGGACAGCTGCATGCCTAACCACACACTCGGCTATATACAATCCCCATGCTATCTTTGAGGGCACGAGCGGACGACACGCCTCATGACGTTGACTCGCCAACAGCCGAAGAAGAGCACAGCGTGGGTAGTCCTGAGCACCTTCTTATTGCACCGCAGCCAATGTGAGTGTGGCATCAGCAGATAAGAATGGAGAAGAGCAAATCGTAACGCAATAAGACATGCTCAGTGTCACGGCAAACATTGAAAAATGGAAGGCACTCCCCCGTCGGTACGCGCCGTCGAATCTGTCGTGTCAACGTTTGGGCAGTGGGAAGGAAAGCAGTCTTAAAAAATTGCGAGGGACCCCACCAAGAGTGCTGCAATTGACAGGCACGTTGAAGGAGGTTTGCCACCTGCCTGTGTGCTGTGCCATGTTATCAGTGGGTTCTTTGCTTTGAGTGGAACTGACATGGGAGACGTGTGTGAGATGTAGCGCATGTTGGAGGGGGACGCAGAGATGCGCTTTCTTCTTTTGGTTGAAACGCTCGTTCAGAACGGGGCGCCTGCGGTAAAAGAAGCTGAAGCATGTACGCGAGCTGTTCTGTAGAGGTGCTGAGAGGCACGAGAACGGAACTTGAGTGGCGGCAGTGGGTAGGCTTCCGTGACGAGGCATCCGCGTTGCCGAGCTTTTCTTTGCGTTTCATTTTTTCCGAGGCGTGTCCGCCTTGACCTCGAGCTGCCCTGCAGGCTTCCGTGACAAGGCATCTGATGTGACGTGTCGCAGCCAATGGGACTTAAAATGCCGCTTCGCTCAGCCAATGGGCATTTAGGTGCCGGTTTTCACTGCTACAGACAACGGCTACAAATGCCGTCGGCTTCGCTCCATGGGACAGTTAACGCTTTCGCATTAAAAAATTGGTTTTTGGTGGCCGCAACGTTTGTCGCCGAGCGTCTTGCTGCGAGAGTACCGATTAGCCAGCAAGCTCGAGTCCAAGAAGAAAAGTGGCGCCCTCTTACCGAGCTGGGCAATGTGCTTGCCGGCCAGCTTCCTGACCATGGCGGGTGCCATTTCTGAGAGCGTCACCACCGTCTCGAGGCAAAGGTGGCGCCATGTCTCGGGCACCGAGGGCTCCCCAATCACCTGTGGCAGACAGATAAGGGACGGTTCCAATGATGCGATTGACTCGAGTCATTTTGAAGCACCTTTCTGGAGAAGTCTAAAGTCCATTTTGTAGCGGCAAAAAGAACTCTCCGATCATGAGGCAACACTTCATTTTTGTTCGTACCACTGCAAATATTACGTTAAGATTCACGCATTGGACTGCCCAACTAAAATGCAATGTCTACTTTGCCTTCTCACTTATGGCAGCCTTTTGTTACCATCAATTGCACAGCAGGAGGAGTGATTCCCTCAAACGCAGAGCAAGGTGTTTGAGTTGCACCAGACACGGTAACAAGATCGGTACTGAAGGACAGCACAAACTGCTGCGAATGGTTATTTCAGGTACAAACTCCCACTCAAATAATGTTGCTACAATTATTCTGAGTGCCTAAGTTAATGTTTCGTTTGAACTTTAGAGGCTGTAATAAAACTAAAATTCCTAATTCGGATGAGAAACAGAGCTTTTGTATTTTGATTATGAGCATCAAATACATTTTATATGCATAACTTCATAACAACAATCCGTATATGAACGATAAATATGCCTTTTTAGAAACAATCCCGCTGAACTCGTAAAAGTTCTTTCCAAGCTTCTATTTTCTGCTTATGCTAATATAATATAGTTATAATAAGAGTTGGCATAAAAAATAAATACATGGAAAAGTCAATATAAATTTTCTTGGAATACTGAAGTATCCTCACAATATATTGTATTGGAAAAAGATGTTGTGGGGATATCACAACCTATCACATACACCAGCCTAAGTATTCAGAAATTGTGTGTAACGTCCCACTCTGGAGGAGTGCTTTCTGCTTAGCATGCAAGTGCACCGAGACAAAGCAAGGCACACAAAATTCCTATGCCCACTTGGCAGTGGTTGCTTCACTGCAGTACACTTGTGAGCAGTGAGAAGCGCACTCAATGAAACTAGCTAACCTGCCAGAATAGACCGCAAACATGAGAAATATTTCGAAACTTCCAAGTACTGTCAGCATTTCAGACGAGATCAAATCAAATCACACTATTTGAGGCGATAATCGAAAATTCTGAAAAGTTGCACAAGCCCCACCGTAAAGGATCCGGCCGGAGCGAGGTCCGAGCTATTGTTTCCAGCATTATTAAAGCTGGGTAAGCACTTTTAACACAGTTTGGCACAGCAATCACATCAATGGGGGTTCGTACTCTCCAGCACCCTGGTCCCTTGCTGTGGTACTGGAGTGAGCTAGTGAACAATTAATACGACAAGTACACACAACATCCCCCCCCCCCCCCCAAAAAAAAAACCTATGTAAAAAAAAAAAAAAAAAAAAACTTTATACTTAAGTTGGGCGATGGTCAGTTTACTTCTAGCCTAGCAGTTAGTAGCTCTCCGTAATCGTTCATTTGCATTCAAGGAAGGCTTTCCTGGTGCTGCATCTATTTCCTTTTTCTATCAACGACTCATTCTTTGAGGCAAGGGAAATCTGTGCCGACGGCACGCAGAGGTAACCAGTACAGTAGGCTCACGATAATTCAAACTCGGATATTTCATACTGAGATGCACTTCTCTCCGAGCACCGGTGCACTGCAGAGGAAAGACCCGCGGAGCTTGCATCCGCGGGCGTTGCTTCTTTGCAGTGCACCAAACAATGCTCGTTGAGAAGCACAGTCAATGGGGCACCAGCGAGGCACTAAGAGCCATGAAGACGGGCACCACGCGGAAATTCCCACCGCAACTTGCGCGGATGCTGTGACTGGCAGAACTTGTCACAGTATGCGTGGAAGTTGTTGTAAAAGCAGCCGTGCGGTGCCCCTTTTCGTTGCTCATGCGCCCCCTGCTTAATAGTCCACATTAGACAACTTCTTGGCCTCATCAACAAGCTTAACTTTGTTTTGAGTTATCATGTGTGGTCTAAAGAGTTTCCAATAAACAACATTCTTGAAAGATAAATAAACTTGGCATACAATTCACAAATGTTTCATGTGTGGCATACCTGCTGATTATCGGTAGGCTTATGTAGAGGAAATCGTCAAATATCTGCTTTGTAGGTGTAGCCATTCACATGGCAAATCATAACTTTATCTTGCATCATATTTAGATAATTTTCTTACAATTAACAAAAAAAAAAAGAAGTGGCTTCCAGGAGTTTGAATAATTGGGAGTCTACTGTGCCCCAGGCCACGGTCCCTGCAATAAAATGTTTCAGTGTGTCTGTATACACACCCAAACTAACACATTTACACACACTAGAATGAGTGAAAATGTGCATATCTGTTATTGCCGGGTTGACATTCAAGTTGAAACAATCAACAGCCTAACTCTCTTCCTTCACTGCCATAATGCGGCTTATGTTTTACTTCACTGACTGTGTGCAGTGAAACTAACTGCACCCTACCCATTATGTCACACCCCACCTCAAAGCAACGACATCCAGACAGATGATTGACCAAAAAATGCTACCTCTTTTTTTAAGGGTTTTGTTTCCAGTTGGGATAAAGTAGTAGTTCATTCGCAACCTATCTTCCAACCTGATCAGACTATAAAACCTAGAAATTTGCGGCAGATTCATACGGAATCTCCTCCCTAGCAGAAATCGACTCACTTGAACGTCGACATTTGCGAGCAGATTAAAGACTAAATAAACGTTACCCTGATCCTTTACCTCTAGCCCACAGTCTAAAGGCCAGCAGAATGGTCTTCTGCGAGGCAGAAAACCGGCTCCCAGTTTCCTTCTCTCCATTCCCTCTCGTGCCATTCTCTCTCTCTCTCTCCTCTCCTCCCCCCTCTCCCCCCCCCCCCCCCCCAGGAGTGGGTCTGTCAGCTGCTCCCAGAAGAAAGGAACAGGGTTTCCCTCTTTCATAAATGAAACAGAGTTGAGGGGCAGTTGCCTCCTTACTGGCTGCTCGTCAGGCTCCAAATGCAACAACCAAGGATCCCAGTGTCTTTGGCGTCGCGGAGAGCACCGAAAGTCGGCCTTTGGAACTCACCCTGAGGCAGATCTGCATGAGGGTGTCGAGGTGCGGCCTGAAGAAGCGGGGGCAGGCTTCCGCCAGGTCCACGAAGCACTTCACCACGTTATCGTCCTCGAGCGCCTCTATGCTCTCCGACAGGATCTGGAATGGGGCAGAGAAACCTCAGACTTTTGTCCGTCCAGCATGCTTCCTTCCTTTTTGCTGGTAATGCAGTATGTATCTTAACAACAGCAAAGTTTGGATTTGCACAGTCACTGCTTTGCTTCAGCAGCACCGCGTCGCTGTAAGCTAGATTTAGAGGGACATATATAGGGGGACACCCTTATGGGTCACCTGGTCGTGCAACCCCGTGACATGCGTCGGGCCACGCCATGTCACGTAGGGTTGGGTCATGCGATATCACAGTGCCAAGTCGTAGCGTCGCGAGACTTCACAATACCAACAACACTTGGGTAAATTTAGTAACACTGCATGTCAAGTGTGGTGGAAGAGGACATTTAACGACCACACTGCATGACGTCAAGTCATGTGACACGACGTCGTCACGCTGCTCAGATTTTGCGTAATGATTGCCAATGCTTTCTGCATACAATACGTTTGGGCAATACATCAAAAGGAAGCTTTTTTTTTTTTTTTTTCAGTTTGGTATATTTTGTTAGGAATTATAAGACCTTACACTCGATCTGCGATTTTCAACAGAATGTACAGTCAAACACGTCTATATCGAACTCGCAAAAAACCGTCTACCAACTCAATATAGCGGGTAATTCGATTTATAAAATTTTTTATGAATTTGACAACAAACAAGCATGCCACATCCAGAAAAGTTGTTTACTCACGAGGGATGCACCACGTGACTATTTAGTGGCCGTTTCATTTTTCAAGGTTCATCGTCTCACCCCCTCCCTACTCCCTCTGCAAGAGAAACTTTTCTTCTCCTGAGCGGCCGACGCGGCCGTGCGGAAGGAAAAAAGCCGGCTTGCAGAGCGAAACGGCGCTCTTGGCAGTTCGATCCATCGGGAGACGCTGCAATGTCCGTTCCATGTAACCACATTTTTTGCTACGCATTTTCATTGCAGCTACTAGTCTGTTCATAAGCTGTTTGATACAAGGGATAGTTCTAATTAACTGGGTTCAATATAATCGGGTTTGACTGTACTTGGATTGAAGAAGCCTGTTTGCCAGTGAGAGGCAGCACATTTCTTTTGAATAAACAATGAGAACGCCAGAGGACAGGTCACCTGCAGCATCACAGGGAGTGAGTCTGCAAACATCCTCTGGATGGCCGTCTCCTTCTCGTGGACCAGGAGGAAGGCCGACACGGCCCTCACGGCCGCAAATCTCACCTGCACCAAAGAAAACGAGGCGCCTTGATTGAGATTTTTCATAAGCGCTGCAGTCCGGGACACTTTATGGTGACAGACTAGGTCACGGCGCAATGCCAAACAAAATAGGAATGTGCACAATCCTTTGAAGCTACTATTCAAGAGTAAAAAGGTTGGTGTAAAAATGGTGCACACGACTTATGGAAACGTCTTTACATTTTACTGTTTTGATTGACATGACGTGACGTTTGTAGCTGAAGCAACAATAAGCCGAAAAGTGCTGTCCACTGTAATCAACTGCCTTGGCTCAGAAAATGAGTGCGGGAGTACAATACTAGCAGCTCAAATGGCTTATTGTTTAAAACTTACAGGTAAACAATAAAAACGTTCAGCCTTTCCACTCTCGTGAAGAAGGAAGACCAGCGGAGCTGTACTCAATATACTGGGTGCTGCTTCTTCATCGTCGTCTGTTTTTCGCACTGTTTCCTACGATGAATTCCCACCAATGCGCCCGACTATCCATTCTTCTATTATAGCTGGAAAGGTTGCCACCATCCATGAGCGGCGGCGAAAACCATACTGGTTGTGTGCCTGCCGTCGTCACTTATAGATGGCGTAGCTATCCAGGTAGGTTTGTGTCAAGATACACGGACACGATCCTGGGGAACCTAACCCTTAACAGCTCCGCTGTAAAAACGTTACTCCTATGACACTCCTGTTCAAAATGGGCACAAAAGGTTTATGCAATTACCACTCCCATAAAAAAGTATCCGGCAGAAACAACAGAAACGGGCAAGGACTCATCACTATTCTCAAACTCCCAGTGCGACTAATATAAAACACTGACTCAACCTCTTGCCATATTGCTGAGGAAGATTTATTACTCACACATTAGTTTCTCACAAATTTTATCATTGTTCGTCTTTCGAAGACTCATTCATCCAGATGGCTCATCGCATTTCTTCTAATACAGTATAGACCACTTACAACGTAACCGCTTATAGTGCAGGACCGGGTATAACGCGGCTTTTTTAAACCACCGGTTCGCCTCCCATAGAACTCCATGTATTTACATACCGCATAAAATGCAGGCGCGCGAAGGGAAATACCGGTTATAGTGCGGTTTGTGGAAGAGCCCGGCGGCCGTGCCGACTGACCGGCGCAGCGAGCACGCTTCCCTTTGCGGCGCTAGATAACGGCGCGAGCCGCGAGCGGCACTCGCGGGGCAAGGAGGTTGCTCGAAGAAACCGGGAGATGCGGAGAGAGAGGCTTCAGTTGCCATAGCGACGGAGGGACGCATGCACGTGTCGTTCTCGTGCGCGCGTCTCTCCGCTGCGATGGTTGGAAACAACCGCAACGACAGACCAATCGCAGGTCGAGGAGAAGTGTCCGCGCGCGTTGCATGCCGGCAGTGCGTACACACTATTGGCTCTCTCCTTTCCCCCCCAACCTCTATTACAACGCTTCTCCTCCTCTACGGTCGCGGGCCGGCTGCGTCTATCCGCAAACATGACGTTGGTTTTGATCGTCGACGTAGATGGCGTGATGGAGGCTCATCGTTCCGCGTAAAAGCGCTACCCTTGACTGTGAATTTTCGTTGTGTGTCGTTATGATAACCCAGCACGTACTAGAAGGGAAGATCCACCTACTCGTGCGGCGATGTCGTGGCGGCACTCTCAAGACGGCAGAAACGCCCGTGTCGTCGTGTTTGTTTACTTCCGACTAGAGTGGTGCTTTCTGTGTTTTCCAACATCGCCCGGATTTCTTATTTGGAGCATTTCATGCCTGTGCTCAAGTTGAAGGTATTACTGGCGCGTACCGTATAAAGGATGCGAATTTTCACGTGTTGCTATCACCGGAGATAAGTGATTAGGGTTAGCAATCCTGAACGCTCGCAACGTCCGTCCGCAACCCGCGACGCTGTTAAAAGGCTGCGCCAGGCAAAAGTCGCTCATTTCTTTCAAAATGTGTGACACACTTGAGACAGAACTGTTCTAGTCTGGTGAAATAAAGACTTTCCCCAAACTAAGCTTTATTTTTCACCTAACATAAAGTAAATTCTTTTACAAAGGTAAGTAGTCTCATGGCATGTATTTTGGCCTGAAAAATTTATGTTTTGGTCATAACGCGGTACCGCTTATAGTGCGGATTTTTGCGACTCCCGCGACATACGTTATATGCGGTCTACACTGTATAGGCAATTATCTTGAGGTTTGTCCCACCTTTGCCCGCACTAACATGTTGAAACAGACCCCCTTCTACCTTGCCATCTCCAAACGAAATAGCCTGCCCAATGACATCACATCAATGACTTCTCCCGAGATGTTCATCAGTGCATTACATAACACGTAACGGCTTTTGAAGATGTTTGACACTCTTTTCTTTAATTACGGCAATCACCAGTGTGCATGTGTGTTATTTTTTTAATCACTTGACGATATTGTACATTAACATTTGTTTGTGAAAATTTTCCTCCTAGGTAATGTCTGATGGGGCCTTTAGGGTGAATAAATAAATAAATAAATAAAATATGAGCTGGGATCAAGGGGAGAGTGAGACTTGCATTCTGGTTGGTTGTGTCTGCCAGGCTCTGGACCAGCATTTGACGTATCATGTCCAAGTAGCGGCTCTGCTGGTTGCCGAAGATGCCCGGCACCGACCTGGAACAGGGGAGACCCAAATGTAGTTCAGGTTCTCTTTAGGTCGGTCAACCCTAGCATTTCGTTACGACTGAAGCTTGGGCTAGTTGGTTGATCATGTCTAAAACTGTGAGTATAACACATACAGTGGTGCTACTGCCGAGACCAGATTTGGAGCAATTTTTGGAGCACCCAAATATTAATTTTGGAGCAGTTTGGAGCACCAAAATATTTATTTTCGAGCAGTTTAGATCACCTAAATGTGAATTTTGTAGCACTCTGGAGCACCTAAATAGAAATTTCTGGAACACTTTTGAGCACTTATGTACCAAGTCTATTATTCAAGAAAACCTAGGTGTAGACTGACACTTTTCGATGCTGCTAAGTGTTACATTGGTAAGTTTTTCAAACAAGTATGATATATTGATTGCAGAAAGACATCAAAAATGAGAAAATCAACACCTTTCAGAAAAAGTTTGCGGGGAACTAGGAGGCACTACCTTCGCAATAAAATGGATGACAAACCGGCTCATCTGTAACTTATTACACCTTGTTCATTTCAAACACAAAGAGCTTATCAAACTGCTCATCTAGCATATATCACCTGGTTTATTTCAAACACCATGAGCTTGTCAAAAGCCTGCTCTTTTAAGTCTCATAGCTTTTCATTCAGACCTGCATGCTTGGTCATATTTTCAGCAAGACTTGCGTTTGCTTTGGCCAAAAGCACCTGCCCAGATTCAATTTCCCCCAGGTTTCTGCAAGCCAATCAAGTCCTGATCAGTCCCTGGGCACGCTCCAGCATTGCCTTTGACGATCCTAAGCGCCTTTCCCAGCACCGCTTTTCTTCCTCAAGCTTGATCTTTTTTTCCAATAATGGCTCACTCGCTTTTCTTTTTTTGTCTGTTCCGGTTGTTAACCTCCCGTTGGAGACGCTCCAAGTAGGTCCTGTGTGAATGTGTGAACGCACAGATTATCTATGGCAAAAAAAAACATACTGAATAAGTCTCCGGAAACACCTCCGAGTGCGTCAAAAACGTCCAGCAGACTTTGCAGCCAGATACGATGAGAGCCCCAAAGCTCTCATCGTAAAGGTTTACCGTTCTTCATATCGCCGGTCCGCACCGTCCTGTCCTCACGAAAATCGTCCGTTCTCACAGGCGCACTAAGGCGGCTGCTATGACGTAATGAACCCTTCAACTGAAAAATGGAACAAGCACCTACGACAGCGGCGCTCGCCAAGGAGAGTAAAGGAGAGTTCCCACCGGTGATGCGATCTAGTCGCGCAATAATTTCAATCGCAAAAGCGACCATCACAGGCGAAAAGCGACGCGATCCAGCAGTCGCTTGCTAAACCAACGCTTTGCGATGTGACTTAGTCGCGGAGCGGATGAGCCAATCAACGGCATTCGGAGCGCGAGTTTTCGAAAACTGACTCGCCAACGAATGCGGCGCAGCCGCTAGGTGTCCTCCGGTTTGTTGCAGTAAAGTTCACCTTGACTAGGATAGGTGGCGCTAGACGCCACCCAATTCCCATCACCCGATTTTGGAGCAGTTTGGTGCAATTTCAAGCATTTTTGCAAATTTTTATCAGGATGGCGCAGGAAAACCTCTTCGGTGCAAAATGGCACAATTGGAGCAGGAGTGGAAGCCCTGCACATACAAAAAAAAAAGCCTAGGAGACAACACTCAGTGCTTTTGACTAGTGTAGCTATATCCCCAACTCCAAGAGATGGAAAGTCACTTGTTGATAAGGTAGATTGTGTGTGAGCGTCTATACAAAAGCATCCTCTAGGATATGAGACAATCGGAGAATGCTTTTTGGGCCCCTCTAGACGTTGCCCCCTTCGCAACAATGAGAGCCCAGGCAACGCCCGACACTCACGTGAAGATTTGTAGTGCAGACTCCCGCAGGACGGGACTGGAAGCGCTGGCACACGTGAACAGGAACTTGAGGAACTCGGGCCAGTGGTTGTTGGCGTCATCGTCTGCACAAGGACACCTTGCAATTGCACGGCTTGGACCACTTACCAACTGGCAATGGAGCACCCGCAATGATCAAACTCATATATCACCGGGTATACATTGTACAAAAACCGCCAAATAAATTTGCGAAAGACAAAAGCATACAACAATAATGCCACTGGTGTGTCAAACCTGAATATGACCTTCTGCAAGTTCGAACCAAATTCTAAGATTTGTATCATATGAATGCTATCAAGTTTTAGTTATCAATGAGTTGTGAGCGAGTAAGTTACCCTCCTACTCCCCCACCCCTTACGGTGCCTGTAACATACCTCGAACCAGTGTTTAAAGGGACAATGAAGACAATATCATTTAATTTCTTTTAAATGGTGTTATTAGGCTTCTTGGGAACCTAGCATGCTGCTCAATTTTTTGTAGACATTTGTGACGCGTATTTCTGTGCCTACAAAAGAAGTAAAGAAACCGAAACTGAACTATCTCCATTCTCACTTCTGGGCCTTCGAAAACGGAGGTGACGTAGGGAGTGACGTCAAGTGTGAATAGCCGGTATCGGTAGTACCTAGGAGGTCGAGACTCTAGTTACCGCAGTGCGTTATAGCAGCGTGGCGGCGCGGTCATTTAGTCGAATCTGTCAACATGGACGACAATGCCGCTCTCGCGAGCGAGTTCGGGCTTCCGTTCAGTGACCTAACACCAACGGAACAAGAGTAAGTGTGAGGCGGCCTCTGCCATCACCCGATGGAGACCACCCAACCGGCAACAAGCAGCCCACAGGCTCCGTAGAGCGGTGCGTTGCCGAAGGACAGGGACGCGGGGGACATGTTGAGGGGAAAGCAGCAGTGATCCGGCCGTTCCGGGAACCAGTTCCTCCGCGGGGGATGCTCTCCCCAAGAAGGAGAAAATAAACAGCACCATTTCCGGTTTTCACCAAAGTCGGACGTCCTCTTTTCGTTGCCAAAGAACACGAACAGCAACCCACACGTGAAAACTAGCGTCGCCCGAACGAATACTGGTCTTCAGTCGATCGTTAGAACAGCCATCTACAGCGCACAAATTTGGCATGACTACCATTTTGCAGAATGTTTCGAGAACCGTGTTCCCAAAGTAAATACGACACCAACATCTGAAACCAGAACCGAGCGTCTCCCGCGTGTTCTTTTTTATTTTATTTTGTTTGCCCATAGTTGCCCGTTTCGCGTCCAGCATAGCAAAGAAAAAAACAATCATGCTGTTTTATTTACGGTTTAGGAACCATTTCCGATTTGATATATACTGTTCATTGTTATTCAAGCGGAAATTAGAACAGTATTCCTAAAAATCGTAAACCAAAACGTGACCGAGGGCACGTCTCTTGTTTCGACCAATCGCTGATGCGTCTCTTGTGACGTCGCGCTTCTTGGCCCCGCATCGGTCACGTGAGCTCTGCTTCTCCTGGCTTCTCCCGCAACTCTTAGGACGTCGCCCCAGTCGAGCCCGGTACGATTATTACCGCGACTGTTTATTTGATTTGAGCAACACACAAGCGCCGGTTTTGGCTGAAATTTGGGCAAAGTGGCCCGAGACGTGCCTGGAACCCAGTTCAATCACCAAAAAGATATCCGAAATTGCCTTTATTGTCCCTTTAAGGCATCCTCATTTCTGGTTCCTTGATTTCTGCCTAATGAAATCACACATAACAGAAAGTCGACTGCTGCAATCTTAGCGGTGCCACGGGATACAGCAGACGCCGTTTCTGCTATAGACATACCTGCCAACCTGTGGACTTTCAAATTCGTAAAAGTCGCGCGGCTGCGGTGGGGGGGGTTACGCGAAGCGATGTGCAGCTTCATGTCAGCCTAGCCAGCGTGCGAAACGCTTGCATCACATGTGCACGTGCTACACAATCCAAACTTCTCTCGCTTTTTGGGCGGCACGAAGCACGGAAATTTCGACGTGTAGGACTTCAGGAACACCTAAAAATACAGTTTTTGAGGTTTCGAGTTCGGCATTGCACCGCGAAGCCACAGTGACCAGAAAAATGCTACAGTTAAGGTCCGTTCACATTCTTGCGACCGAGTAAGACTGAGAGAGGCCAGACCGGTTTTTAAGACTCTTGCGACCCCTCAGGACCAGCTCCATTGCAGCGCATCCGGTCCTAAGAAGTCGCGAAAGGCTTAAAAACCGGTCTGGCCTCTCTCCGTCTTACTCGGTCGCAAGTGTGTGAACGGCGCTTTACACGTGCAACAAACACAGACGCCGAAATTCTCGCCTCAAACTGGCCGAAACAATGAGGCCCAACAACGTCTGAACACGCTGAACCAACGTGCACCTGTGCACCGCCAAACAGACGAACAAAGGCTTTGAGCTTTGGATTGGTTTTCGATCCGTGGCCACCGGATAGACGGATAGTAAAAACCACAACGCTGCTGTGGACGGTAACTATCGCCTTCTTCTGGCGGTGCAAGATACTGCTAACAACGGAGTTACAAAAACAACAACAAAAAAAATTGAAAAAATATATATATATTTTTTGTAAGATTTGAAGCAAGATTCGTAAAATTAGTCCCAATTCGTACATTTTACGAAAAATTCGGAAGAGTTGGCAGGTATGTATAGGCCACTCTCCAGTCTGAAATTTCATGGAAGCTTCCAGAGCCAGTAGTTGATACACCACAACGACAGCGACACTTGCGTCCACTCGCCTTTTTCACCAGCAGGAAGGCCACGCCGGCTCTTACAATGTGATTTGTTGCTGCTTCGAGACTACTTTCGACAGACGGGTGAAATATTACGCTGAACACCGGGGTCGAAGATGTGTTCTAGGTTCCATACCGAGGAGTCTGAAACATGTCTTAGACTGCCGCGTTTGGAGTCCCATACCACCCACGAATCGAAGGTAGTCTCAAAGTGGCAACAAATGACGTCGCGGAAGTCGCCACATAGGGGCGTCCGACGTTGCGATTATGGCGCTTTGCGCCTAGAGTTCTAGCAAAAAAACACGAGAAAACGTAAATATCGCCGTCGATTTGGGCGTACTAACAACTCCCGGCTGCCAAAGCTTCCATAGACCGCAGAACCTCGGAGCAACCTGCGGCAGAACAAGTGCCCGCTACATCCAACTCTGCCGCCGTCCCACCGCCTGAATCGTAGCAGGCAACAGCATGAAACGAGTATGACGTCGCGGGGAGGAAATAGAGGGACCGCAAACGAGGAGGAGGGGGAAGACAGACCAGCCAAAAACGCGTCCCAGGCGCCGTGCCCTTTGTCAGAGGCAACGGGGGAAACCCGGCACTCACCAAGCAGCTTGCGTGCCAGCTCCGCGGCACACTCGCACACCCTCTTGCGCAGGGTGTTGCTGGTCTCGTTCTGGATGCTGAGCAGCAGCTGGTCCTTGAGTTGGGCCTGGGCCTCCGGCGGCAGCTCGGGGAAGCACTTGTCGAAGTCCGTCGAGAAGAGGCGCCGGAGGAGCACTGCCGCCAGGACCCGCACCTGCTCCTCCGCCGCCTGGTTCACCAGGGCCCCCAGCAGGAACAGGGCCCGGCTGCCCGCGGGGAGCCCGTCGTACGCCGTCTGCAACAGTGAGGAGGGTCTGGGGGTGCCCAACCGACAGAGGGCATCTACCGGGGAGGGGATCCGACCCTCGCGCTCGTAGCGGCGAAGAACTAAACCCGTGGGGAACCCGTGAATTGTAGCTAAAATAAGTATGCCAATTTTACATCAGAATTAATTTAAAACATTTCGCCTCCCATGCGGGAGGCACCATTTATAGTTAGAGAGCAGGTGCTCTTGCACGTGCTCTGCAACTACCAATGATGCCTCCCGGACGGGAGGCGGAACATTGAATGAATTTTGTTTCGTCTGTTATGTAGACTTGGCGTAGTTATTTTGGTTATAACGTCTTCCAGGCTTCTGGATTATTTTTGGAACTGTTTGTGCTTCTGATGCAGTGCCCAACCAACGTAACTGAACGCTGCGTCGGCGTTTACCTGGGGCTCGCATTCACTCGGTGAAGCACTGACAGGCACTTTTCGAAAGTATGCGCCATCTAGTAGCTGCTATGCCAATTATTGCAGTCCGCCATTGTCAGTGATGCGATTGGCCTAAGTTGTTATGGGGCACCTTTCGGAGCAGCCAAAACAGTGTTTTTGAGCAGCAAAAAAGGCCTTTGGAGCAGCCAAAACAGTGTTTCGGAGCAGCAAAAAGTGGCTTTTAGAGCGCAGCTCTTAGGGGCCCGTTCCCGGCTTGAGCGGCGTCGCCGTCGCCGTCGCCGTCGGCGTAACCGCGCGGTGCATTATGGGTAAATTTCCCCGCTAAATCTAGCGGAAAAAATTTCCCCGCTAAATCTAGCGGAAAAATTTCCCGCTAAATCTAGCGGAAAAAATTTCCCCGCTAAATCTAGCGGAAAAAATTTCCCCGCTAAATCTAGCGGAAAAATTTCCCCGTCAAATCTAGCGGAAAAAATTTTCCCGCTAAATCTAGCGGAAAACTTTCCCCGCTAAATCTAGCGGAAAAAATTTCCCCGCTAAATCTAGCGGAAAAATTTCCCCGCTAAATCTAGCGGGAAAATTTCCCCGTCAAATCTAGCGGAAAAAATTTTCCCGCTAAATCTAGCGGAAAACTTTCCCCGCTAAATCCTAGCGGAAAAAATTTCCCCGCTAAATGTAGCGGGAAACATTTCCCCGCTAAATCTAGCGGAAAACTTTCCCCGCTAAATCTAGAGGAAAAAATTTCCCCGCTAAATCTAGCGGGAAAATTTCCCCGCTAAATCTAGCGGAAAAAATTTCCCCGCTAAATCTAGCGGAAAAAATTTCCCCGCTAAATCTAGCGGAAAACTTTCCCCGCTAAATCTAGCGGAAAAAATTTCCCCGCTAAATCTAGCGGAAAAATTTTGGTCACGTGACCCCCTCCCGAGGTCACGTGACCTCTGAGGGGGCACGTGACCCGACCCGACCCCCCCCCCCCCCGAGAACACGTGGCCCTCAGTACCCTCCCCTCCTCCTCCTCAAGAGCTGCGCTCCAATTCGGCGTTACAGGGAGTGGTAAACGGCTTTCACTTTTTGAGCAGATATCCTTAGAAAATTATATATATTTGTTTTAAGTGCTGGAAAAATGAAGGGCACATTGCTCGCCGCAATAAACAAATGGTCAAGTTAGACCACTTGGGAGTCTTTCAACATGTTAACTGAGATGCCAATGACATGACACATATTCCATTGCTACAGTTAAATGATACATATATATGTACCCGCTATAGATACAAAACTGCACATATTAAATTTATCTAAAAATGACCACCTCAGTAGTAAATGCCAAAGGATAAAGTTGACTAGTTATATAATAAATTGAAGCAGTCTCCTACTAATGGAACATGCAACTGTTGCAGTGCAATGCGAAACTGTACACAAGAAAGGGTGCAGTATACCTAGCGGGTTCTTTTCCTTATGCATTTTGAAACATTCTGCAAGGCTGCTGTAAGCCTCGCTTTGCCTTCGGAAAGTATTGAATGTCCACTTTCAATGTCTCCAAGGAGACATTGCGACATCCCACAAGTGTACAGTGCTGTACGCTTTGCCGAGCAGTTCCGAAAAACTGCTTGCCACCGTTTTACTGGTTCCCGACGTGCCAGATTTTCGTCAAAAGCAAGCCAACGTAAACCAATAAATTGCAAGCGTCCCAGCTGGGGCCTCTGTCGTGCAATCATGTTCGTATGCATGTGAGCGCAACTTCGCCAGCCTACGGTTGCACGCCCTTCGCCATGCGAGCGGAGACGGCTGTTCGATCGAAACTGAAACCATGCCACTCCACTCCGTCGCCAACTGGTTCCCAAAATCGTATGCAAAATGTTAACGGCCCAGCATACGACTAAAAACGGCACAGCATACGACTAAAAACGGTCCAGCGGCGTGTTCTTGCCAGGCCGGCAGGCGAGGTACAAGCTAAACACACAGAAAAAAAGCGCACTGATGCTACACATCGAGAGTCAGGGTCAAAAAATTATTGGAGGGCTTCGTGCAACGACTGAACTCTACACAAACAAGCGTGCTGTGTGGGTTCAGTGTGCAGACATTGAGTTTTTTGCTTTAGCTCACTTCTCTTCACCAACATCCTTTCGCGGCAGACTCTTCATGTACCAGGGTCCCCCTCAAAAGAAAGCCCACCGGGAGAAACCTAGGTAATCAATACTTCAACACAGCAGTCCGAGTTAAAGAGGGATTTTTGTACTAACGGATGATTTAAAGAAGAACAGGAATGTTGATGACCTTGCGGCGGTCCTTACATTTCAGTTTCGAAAGCGCCATATCTGCAGCGACGTGGGGACGGCAACACCTGACGTCGTGCAACCACGGTCACAGGTAGGCAGGGACCAAATATAGTTTTCCCACGGCCGTTGCTTTCAGGAGCGAGTGCTTCAGCTCACAAAGTAACTCCTGCCACGCAAAAACGTGGTTTCGTTTCAAAACATGACAGCATGGCTGGTACCCGACACGCTAGCGTCGGAGCGCCCGCACAGGCTTGCATCTACCGTTACAAAAAATTTGAAAAGACGCGAGGAGAGACCCACGACACGACGAAAGCGCGAAATGCGAGACAGCAAAAAAAAATAAAAGAAAAGGAAAAACCGTGTAAGACTGGATGGACGATTGATTCAGAGTACTTTGTGCCGGGCGGTCACTTGCGCCACCTGGCTAACTCATGCTCAATTACACAATACTCAGTCTACTTTCCGTTTCGAAAGGCGACCGAAATTGGTCCTTTGGGCGCAGGCTTGACGCAGATTACCCATATTTCGGCAAAATGTAGCAGGTTGTATCAGGGTTAGCCCCTTGGCACAGTTTGGTGCGAATGGCACAGCAATCACATCACTGCATTGTTCAGGCACACATTTTGAGCATGTATTGGGCGCAAGGACTGTCGGCGTAAACTTGGCCCGGCACGTATCGAGAGCTGCGACGGTGTTTGGCGAGAACGCGGAACCAATCACGCGCTTTGTGCCCAATGGGCGGATGCTAACGACCGGGTCCATATCACAAGAGCGAATGACATTTTAGCGAACGGCGACATTTGAGCGAATGGTCGTTTTAGCGAATAACGGGGGCGCGCGTTAACCCATCCGTCGCGCTGCGCTTTACGCCGCTTCGCGGCGACAGTCTGCGGCAACTCATTACAAAAATGTGAACCCATTTGGCCCACCCGAAAAGGCCGCTTTGCGGCGTCCGACTATTCGCTATAGTGTCATTCGATGAAATGTGGGCGTTCGCTAAAACGTCATTCGATCAAGTGAGTGCCTCCCCTAACGACCGTACCCTTTATGGCGGGCGGTAACTTGCACCAACTAGCCTAGAAGCCAAGATATGACAACCTCCGATGTTGCTCAATGGGGTATTGAAAAGATTCTGTTGAACACGGGCCCTAGCCGAACACAGACTCCTCCGACCTGCACAAGGTCGAGGAAGGCGAGGTAAAGAATCCAGTCCACGGGCCGTGTTGGGAAACTACCGAGCTACATGGAAAACAAACTAGGCAAAGCAACCCCTGTACCGTAATATCCCAGGAAACACGCCATCCCGGAAAGATAGCCCAACCCTATTTTCGGCTTGATTCGCAATGTTTTTTAGGCAGTGATCATAGTGTTCGGATCAATTATGATTTCGGCGTAAATGTGGCTAGCTAGCTATGGCGGGGTATAAGGCAACATTGTTGTTGGCGACATACAGTTTTCTTGCTTCACTGTCCCTTGCCGCAATAACAAGTTTGACAGGGACACATAATTTAAGAATAAAAATTTTTAAACATTTTTAATTGCATTTTGAAAGTTAGCCCCCTCCTCATTTGCACCCGATTTTAGATGGGCTATCTCTCAGGATAATACGGTAGTTCAATCTGAAAGCCCACACTCCACTTCACCTTAAAGGGACACTGAAGTCAGCAAAAAAACTTTTGTGGGATACTCGATAGGACGCATCGTCATAAAAGGAACTTACCCCTCCCTGAAATCTTTTCAGCCGCAATATTTACTACGTCGCGAATTTATTATTTTTGACGTCCGCTCACCACGCAACATTTTTGCCCCTTTTTCGGATCAAGTTGCCTTGTAACAGTGCGGTCATTACGAGTTGGAAGCAGTTTTTACATTTCGGCATGTCGACACAAAAAAGAAGCACATCTCGGAATCGCTCCTAGAGATTCAATGCAGGCATTCTTTGGCGTCTCTAGAGGCGTCTCGCCCCTAGAGACGCCAAAGAATGCCTGCATTGCCCATGTATACAACAAAACATACTTTCCACTAAAAAATTAAAATAAAAAGCACAATATGCGATACCTAGGCTGCGAGATCCATTTTTCTGAGGAGCCATACCAAATTGTGGTTCTAGTATTAAGACACGTCGTTCCGAGATAAAAGTGCCGTATAAAAGTGTCACAATGCCCAAATGAGTCTTGCAACCTAAACACTAAGCAAAAAACTTTCTTTCCTTCAGGGATTGTGTTTTTAGGTACAAACCATGTTAAACAAAAAATTGCAGTTGTATTTCATTCTGTCGGTCAAACCATCATGTGCAAAATTGTTTTACGAGGAACGCACCGTATGCTAACTTCAGTCTCGGCCTTCCAGGCACGTAACGCCACGGCCTATCGCAGGCGACACACCGTTCAATTTCTTTTCTTTTCGTTGTTTTCGGAGCTTTTGCAGCTGTCAATGTCTTCTCCAAGCATCTAGTCTCGAAGTCCTCTCTTGCCTCTTCAGTTTTCTTTCTTTTGTTGTTTTGTTCTATTTTCTTTTGCATATGCACTGCGTGGCTCGCAGAGCTCCAGATGCAGGTATTTTAGCAGCCTGCCAACTATGTTCAACCATGGCTGACTAGGAACGCTTCACTTTTTAAAACCAAATCAGTTAGCTTCAATAAAGCGAAAATTCAGCATTTAATTTTTTTTTTTTTTTCATTTAGTGTAGGCACATGGTGACAACGGTGACTGTAGCAGACCGACTTTATTGTGCGAAAAAAGACGGCAGTGTGGCAAAATCAGGTGCGTGTTTGGGCCCTCTTGCCATGCTTTTCAATGGCCAGAACATGAACAAAAACAGTTTGAAATAAGGACTTAACTACGATGGCCGATCTCCTCCAGCACCTAACCTTTGGACGAGCTTTTCTTGATATAATTTTTTGGGGGGCTATTTGGAGACCTCTCTTCACCCCCCTCCTCCTTCCACCCCTGGAATATGGGCCTAAAGTATCAAACTGCCTCTAAATCAACTGACCATTTTATAACTATACAAGCACCAAGGACCTTGCTGCTAGTGTAGTTGCTTGCAGGCACGTAGCCAGGATTTTGTTTCAGGGTGGGGCCCGCCCATGAAAAAATGCTGTATGAGGGGGAGGGGGGAGAGGAGGTCCCAGCAAAATGAAAGATTTCGGAGCCCAAGCCCCATGGCCCCCCCTCCGCCGCCGCCCTCCCCCCTGCGCTAGGTGCCTGGTTGCTTGTGCTGTCACCTGCAGCATTGCTTCTCTAAAGAAAATCTAAAAATAAAAGCCCCTTCGCACATGCACATCTAAGCCTTATCTTGGCTATTTACTTTTAATATATTACGCAGAAAAGGCGAACACATGCAGCACGTGTACCTACATTCCCAGATTTCACTTTGGCACTTGCATAATTTAATAAAAAGTCCATTAGTGAGACAAAAAAAAAAAAGAAGGGACAATACAATGGACTTAGATGAAGTATTTTAACTGAAGCTTTCCCATTTGGCTTGAGTCAGTGAGATTTAAGGGCTTCCAAGGCACTGAAAATTGGTTTTCAAGAAACCTTCAGTGACCCACACTGTTTGTTTGCAAAAATGATGTAGGATGTGTTCACGAAGTTACCAACCATCTTAGAACGACAGCAGGGCATCCCCAAATGATTTTTTTTAAGTTGCCCAACTTTTCCAGGTTTTTCCCCAACATTTTCAGTTAAATTTTATGACCATTACAAAAGGACGAAAGGAAGCGGTTCTGAAAATGAATCCAGGTCGGTCGAGCTCAGACTAAAAAAAGACTTCTATGGCAGTGACATTGTTTCTACGACAGGTTTTCACTTAAAAAATACAAACTGCAGAAAACTCAACACGAATCCAAGCACGTGAATGACCTGTACTCTGTTTCATACTTAGTGTGCAACGCTGTCAAAGCTTTTGGTGCGAGCATGGGGCTTGATCTTGTTGATCATTTGCACGCGTTCTCGCACAAACAGAACCATAGATGAAGCCATGCGCTCGCACCACTAGCTTTGACAGCGTTGTATGCTAAGTATGAAACGGAGTATAGGAGCTCCAAACCGGTGTAGGTTCTACAATCCAATTTTGAACAGATGGGATGTGCATGTAATGCTTGCCAGAGGACAGAGTTGCAAAGGCTATTAGCCCCGAGTGGGACCGATTAGAGTGCTGCGATCGATCGCTCGATGGTGACAAGTATCACGTGAAGAGGCCAGGTATTTTCCCCGCTGCGCTTCGTTTGCGTGCTTCAGCACAAAACAACAGAAACTATTCGCTAAGTGTATCTTGTTTTTGTTATTATGCAAAACGTGTGTAGGACAGAACCTAGAAAACAAATTCTAATACGCCAAGTGAAACTATCGGAAGTTGTGTGCAAGTTACGATGGAATCCTACGATACCTTTGTGGCCACCAGCACCGCCCAGATACTTTGCCGTGGAGACCGACGAGCATACTTCTATGTCATCTTCGCGGATTTTTCGACTCCAAGCAAACGCTCGATTCACGGGCTCCGGAGGCAGCGACAACAATCCCAACGACTTCTGCGGCAGCTCAAGTCAATGGGAAGGCCAAGCAAGGTGGGTCGGAAGGTCTAGCAAGGTGTTAGTCACTATATGGCTACGACCAGCGGCCTCGTTAAATGAATTAGTTTGCACGACCCGTTTTTTTCGGGTCGTGCAACTATCCACCGACTCCGACGAGGCGAGCTGCTCAGAATATAGGCCTAGCAGGCACCCCAACTCGGCGCAGCGTTGCTTCGTCGCAAGACCGTCTGCCTACGACCGGCTGGCGTGCTGAATGGAATATGCCCGCGCTACCCTTGTGGACCCTTCCCGTATTATAGTTTGATCGCTGACCTCAATTTTAGATTAAGAGGCGAGGTCAATCTCTTCCCCTAGTTTTCCGAGGCAGTGTTGACGAACACTCGTCGAAAAGGGACTCTCTTTAATTCTATCTTGTTTTGTGTGATATAGAGCTGAAATAAACGCCGTATGGATTACCTTCGTAACACGGTATGTACACTTTGTTATTGGTATGCCATTTTTATTCTGACAGACTGCACGTCACTGTCGAGCTATAACAGTTTGTGGGAGGTATACGTGCAATGCCGCTCCAACCTTTCTTTGCCGAGTGTCAAATCAGTATCGAGTTGCAATCGTAAAAGATCGGTCCCGAAGCGCTTACCAACAGCGCGAACACAGCACTTCCATCAAACGCAAGCGTCCGCTCCGAGTGTGAACAGGTATTTACATGGCTCTTGCTGACACTCGTAGTTCAAACATATCTTTTTTAACGTCGGCTCGCTCCTGCATCTCTGAGGCCGCGAAAAACGCTAAAGTCAAATTTGGGGGTTTTACGTGCCAAACCAACGGCGGGCATCTGGCACGCCCCAGCGGAGGACTGAGGATTAATTTCGACCACCTGGGGATCTTTTGACGTGCAACCGAAAGCTCGGTTACACAGCGTCTTCTCCGCAATAAGCCTCCGTCACATTGCGGGCACCTCGGCCGGGATTTGAACCCGCCACATGGGGATCCGTAGGCCGACGCTCTCGCCTCGGAGCCACCGAGGTGGCTGCGAAAAACGCTGCGGCAATTTGTTTCCATCTACGTCGCTTTGCAAACGACTGACACGGGCCGCCTTTTACCAACAATGACAGTTGGGTTGACTTCTGGAGTCTTCACCGGAAGACTCGCTGCACTTCCCAACAGGCATACCGGCGTATGGGACTAGCCCCATGCTGTTGCTGTAGCGCAACATATCCCATTGAATTTCGCTCAGCTGCGATGCGGCGATGAGAGGCGCCGATTCAGAAAATACGTCGGTGAAATCAGCGCAGTGAAACCTACCGGCGCACCCCAACTCGTCACCGCTAACGCTCCCATTCTCCTACTGCCGAGAGAACTTCCGGTTCCGGAAACAGCGTACGTCACTGCTTGTTTTGCGGTCAGTTGGAGAGAAAGAAAAAGTCGATATTTCATTAATTTTTTTTGTAGAAGTTAATAAACCGAGACGAAAACGGATGCCTGTTCGGCATTCAGTGAACATGACGGTTGAATGTAAAAGTTATCTGGACAAAGTAAAAAGGTCCATTTCATGGTCCCTTTAAGGCATGCCACGCTTGCATCGCTCAATGAGCATCTTTGGTGGGTTCAACCATCAAATTTGTCCCGTCAGGTGACAAACCAGTGTGTCAAAAAACGTGGTCGATCGCCGCTACTAGGGCACATACAGACATCGAACAGGGAGTGGGACACTATGTCCTTGCAATCAAGGTGGCTGAGACCAGATTTACGAGAGCAAACACCCTTGCGCAAGACCCACGAGTCGTGCCGCTTCGACACAAATAATGAATGGGAGGAGGACTGGGGCGAGTGCCTTCACTAGAGCGACACACCCCAGTGTGAACGTGATCTTTCACATTTTCGCAGCACGTCTAAACTTCTCTAAAGATACCGTTCCGTGGAAGTATTTTACACGAACCGGCGTTCAACCGGACCGGCCCCACGACGAATTGTAAAACGTGGCCCATGCCGCCTTTACTTGTCAAAACGGGTACGCAGTACGGAACAAGCGCACGTGAAACTAACCACGCACGCGCGAGAATCTCCGGGGAGGCGAAAAACGCAGCGACTTGCGTCTTGGACACCGAACTCGAGAAGGTAAAGGTGGCAAAAAAGCAGAAATTACCGCCAGTTAGGCCTAGAAAAAATTGGCGGCGCAGAAGCGCGGACCGCGCCGTCCGATCCAACTCAACCCCCGTTGATTTGCGCTGAACCCATTCGGGCGGTGCACCAGTAGCTTATTATATACTTTAAGGGGTATTCACACGAGGGAGAAATCCCGGGGATTTCTTCCCGGCACGCGCATCCTACGAAGAAAACGTCAGGCTTCGCGATGTGCAAAAGCCTCGCGTTTTCATCTCGTGATACGCGCGTGCCGGGGAGAAATCCCCGGGATTTCTCCCTCGTGTGAATACCCCTTTAGTCTACGAACTCCCTATTCGCGGAATAATGCGATGGCTGAAAAATATCAAGAGCGACTGAACCGAGAAGAAAACGAAGAAATTAGACGAGCGCGTCAGTTTGGCCAGTGGCCTGCGAAAACCACGTTCTCACACGTTGTCACGCCTAGGCAAGGGGATCGGAGAGTGGTGGTGTATCGTCCATACCTCGGCGTTGCTCCTGATTTCATTCTCGGTGCTTAATAAATTCACTAGAAGTGCGTTGAACTGCGCCTGGTCTTGTTCCATCTTGGACGCTCCGAGAGCATGCGAACGACAGGGCGCACCGGAGGGAAAGAGGGAAACGCAAACTCCCGCACAAGCTGAGCAACGCAACGCGTTGCATGGCACGGATGCCTGCTGCGTCCACCAGGGGTTTATTCATATCGCTTTATTTAGGATAGTAATACAAGGTTTTATTATAATTAAAAAGTTAAAAAAGAAATTTTGGGGGACTTTTCAACTCAAGTTAGCTAGTCAATGTTACATGTGACGTGCATAACCTTTATGACATCAAAAAATTCCTAAAATGTGCTAATTTAATTAGGTTAATAGTTATAGTAGACTTTCTAAGTTAACATAAATGTTGTTCATTGCTTACAGTTTGATTTTTGTTGTACAAGTTGTAAATAAACATTTTTAGTAGTACCAAAGTAGGTGCAGAGGGGACCTCAAGCATCGCGTCCACGTCGCGCATGCGCGATGGTAAATTTACCATGTGACCTCATATTATCCAATGCGTTTCTCCAGTCGGTCTGCACCGCCAAGCTCGTTTTGGCGTTGTAGGAACGGCAACGACCGCTTTCATGACTGCTCCACACGCCGCTTATTGTTTTAGGCGTTTTATAATGACCTTTCTCTGGTCAGAAGAGTTTTAACGCAATTCGGAGTAGCGAGCACGGCGATCCGTCCCGGTGCAGACCCAAAATCCCATAGATTTTTCAAGTTGCATTTCACTGGTCGCCATTTTTGTTGTGCGTCGAAGCTGGTATTGGCCAGCATCGGGGCTAATTTCTCGCATGTTGAGAGACCCACAAATATTTTTACTGTTTAGTGAGCCCTGGGGGCACCTTTACCCACTGCGATGACGGACTCTCGTGATAGCTTTCGCCGTTCTGCCTTTGGATACCGGTTCTAGGTGAGTGGCCTTGGTGTAGACAGACACCCTATTTGGAGGACACCTTCTCTTGCTTTGTGCGATCGTGCCTGGAAAATCGTACGCTTACAACGCGTAACTTCTTACATCGTAGTAAATAATTAGGTCTGCTGTATTCAACTCTCGTTTGGTTGTTGTGTTGACTCTCCTCTCCCGATTAAGTTTAGGCTAGGAGGAGACGAGTGTGTGGTAGTACGCTACGCTTGCAGCGAACTACAGTGTCGTTCCTCTAAAGAAATCGTGAAGAGACTTATGCCTGATACATTTGATTGAGAAGCTTCTCGGGTGCTTATAAAATCCTGAGCAAATGTGATTTTCTAGCGTCCCGTGAAAAAAATCCTAGGCCTAAGAACGGCCATGCCGGCTCAGAGGAGCTCTGGCGGGACTGAACATAAAACGGTCACGAATTCCTGGATGTGGCGAAGTTTGATTTATTTTAGGCGTCTTTATCTTTCATCTTTATTTGTTTTCAGCCAGACCAGCCGTGCCCATGACTGCGAAGGATGGCCGGGACGACCAGTAAAGTAAGTTGGTTTTGCGGGATGTTGACGTGCCACTGTCGCTTTTTCACAGATGACTGATGACGGCGGTTGCAGATGCGGCGTCGGCACCTGGCGATGCCTTGTGGCAGTTTTGGGGATTTACTAGCGTTCTTGCCAAGGTTGTTGAGATCCGAGCGTGTCGAATATCAGGCGAAAAAAATAGAAAACGAAAAAGGACAGAAGTTACGGACAAAAAATATGAACACCTACCACCAATGGTGGCTCAAATACACAAATCTTTGAACATTGATGCATATTTCCAACATTTTTACCATTGTTGAATTCAGTCTATGTGTCTGTCCTTGGCCCTAAGTGATCTGTTCTTTTACATTGTATATAAAAGAACACCCGAAGTCTTGAAATGTCGATGGAGATGAAGTCCTAGGGAATGCCTCAAGTTAATTGCAATAAATGGATATCTTTTCCACGGCCTTCTCTATATACTAGCGACCACTCCATCGGGAAGCCCCCAGCACGCACTTTCGCCGAGAGGCTACTGCGTGGTGGCGCTGAAACTCTAGCCTTCGTTTGTGAGGCACAAGCAGTGCACGCAGCATATCCCGCTTTGATTATGCTGGAAATGACAGTGTCTGTCTCGTATTTACTTGAGAATTCAATGACCAGATGTGCGTTGACTGAACACGCGTTATCGGCATGGCTTTTTGTGCCCTGTGTGGCAATTGCAATGTTGAATTTGGACATTGATTTAAAATTATATACACCCAAGAACCCACCCTTTTGCAAGTTGTGTGAAGAGACTTTGACGGGTGTTGAATATTCCACAAGTTCTCATTCATTATTTGTAACCTCCCCCACCCCCCTCCCCCAGCATGCCTTAAGTTAAGTCTGACACCTTCACAATTTTATTGGCAAGAAATAATTTTGCTCCGACTACATCGGAGTTAAGAGTTCACACATCTCTGATAATGGTGTCCATTGAAGCTGATACTGGGCGTCCATTTATTTCTTCCAAGCTGGAACAGTCGAGGCAATGTTTTTTTTTTGTGACCTCATGTTGGATTTTTAGCTTGATTGGCATCTCAGAGTTCCTCATTTGGATCCGGGCGATGGTCGGAACTTTTAATTATTTTCCTTCCTTAAGACATGCCTGTAATTGTCTAAAATGTGTAACCATTGTACTTGACTAACATAAAGCACATAAGAAAAGAAATTTTGCAATCGTAAGTTTACGGCAAGCGTGCACCAAAACTGGCTGATGGCCTTGGCTTTTTGCGTGAACTCATTGCTCTGCTTTGAGGCACTGGGAAGTTTCGTTGGCTCCAGACGACGGGTAGAGCAGATGCATTCCAGAGACCCCATTACCAATTGGGAATAAAGTTTCGGTGCTTCAAGAGAAGGCAGTTGCTGTCATCTTTCCGACGAGTAGAGAATTTCAGAAGTAAATTGTAGAAATATTTATACTGTGTTGATTTTAGTTCCTATTTTAGCAGGTAATTGCACAATGCCTAGTTCTGCGCACCAAGGTACGGTGCAAGCCACAGCAGGAAGCATTTGCTGCACTGATTATTGGTAAATTTCAATGCACTGATGTGCGAACTTAAAAAAGAAATACGAATGTTCGGGGCAGTAAAGCAAGATTAGTAATGAAGTGATGTGCGACCGGGACTCCAAGAGTAATTATATGTATCCACAGGACCTCATATATACCGGCTTAAATCTCTCGATACGAGAAAGTGGTTTGCTGCAGCATGCCCGCTGCTATGAGGGAAACTGAGTTTCAGCGCTGCCTAGCGAGTGGCGCGCTGACTACAGCAGCTGTGGGCTTTCCCTTAGGGAGCGCTCAGATGAAGTGGTCATTAGTACCGAGAAGGTCGTGATCCAGTCTAGTAGTCTGACCAATTTCTCACAAAGAGGTGAGACTGTCTTTAGGTCAAATTTGCTAGTCAGTTTTTGTTTATGGGGCTCCTTGAGGAGAGGACTTTTTCAAAGGTCCTAGGGTTTCATTTTTCATGTGAGCGGTAACATCCATAAACTGCTCATGTGAAACAAGACAGTGGTATGGAGTTCGAGTGGCACATTCATTTCTTGCATCTTTTTGCATGATCATAATGAAAACATCACGTGCACCCTATTTTCAACCATGAAGTGTTACTACATTTAACCTGTACACTCTTTTTAAAACTTTTGCTCACTACCACCGCTAGGGTACTCTTTTTGGCTTCTGGTTGGCCAAGAGAGCATGGCAAGCCCCTCTATCTGCGTCTGGTGTACTCCCTGGCTCTGCCCGCTCCCCCAATGACCAAACTCTATACGCGGCTCTGCAATGTGTGTGTAGGCAGATATTCATAACCGGTTGGTGCTGTAGTTGAAATTGGAGGAAATATTAATAACAGGCACGTGACTGTAACAAAATATTGTTCACACAAACCAGTGCCAGAAAACCTTATTGCTTGCTTTGAACACAGGCTGAAAAAACGGTGCTGATCAACTCTTTTTGGTATGTTCTGCAGCAGCTAGTATGTGTAAATACAAATACGTGTTTTGCTGTGTTCACATGGGTAACCGTTCAAAGGCCCATTCGTACCATATGGCCTTGGAGAAAGCCACCTTTCTCAGATCAGAATAATCTGTTCACTCAGACTTGCTCGAGGCGGCACAAATGACCTGCTACATTTCTTTGTGAAGGCATTTCATTTGCTCCAAGCTGATGTGACTGCCTATGGATACCCAGTTAGTGGGCACACTCACATTGCATTTGTTCATTATCAGTTGAAAGACTGGGATGTGTGGCCGATTATGCAGTTAACGAGTTCTATGGATTCTTCCAGTCTCTACTATTCCGTGTCTGCTGAGTGGAGTTGCAATGAGGGTTTTGATAAAAGGCTGTCCTTGGCACTGGTGCAATACTTTTGCTTGGCTAAATACTTACAAACCTTGCATTGAGATTTACAATAACGAAAGAGGTACATGGAAGACAAATGGACAACACAGGCTTGCTCAACCACCTACATTGCATTGTGACAATGCTGCTTAGTGCTTAGTTTATTTGAGTTTGCACATACTTGGCACAGCTTAATTCGGGGCCAACAGGACTGCTATCCCATTGTGGTGAAGTTTCAGTATGTGCAAACATGCCTTCGCTGATGTCATAGCATGCTTGGAGGTGCTGGGAAAAGGCTTATCAAACCAATAAAGCTATCGTTTTTTACAGCAGGGCTAGGTTCCCCAGGATCGTGATCGTGTCCGGTATCAAACGCCTGTCGACACAAACCTACCTGGACAGCTACTGCCATCTATAAGCGACGGTGGCAAGCACACAAGCAGTCTGGTTGCCGCCGTCGCTCGTAGATGGCGGCAACCTTTCCAGCTATCATAGAAAAATAAATAGTTTGGCATGTTGTTGGGAATCATTGTAGGAAACAGCACGAAAGACGTACAACGACAAAGAAGCACACGTAACGAGCGCAGCGCTCTTCACGTGTGTTTCTTACGCTCTTATCAGTTTCGGTTTGGACTTAGGATGGGTCGGTCGCGCGCCCTTTCGGGGAAAGAAGTCTGGCTGCGGAAGGAGCGGCGATGTACATAGCAGTGCAAATGGGTCCGCAACCGCCGCAAAGCCGCTGTCGCCCCGACTTCCGCTGCATCGAGCGCTTCAGATTTCCTTGCCAAAGAAGAGCACATCGCTCGCCTGGAAAGCCTCAGTTGAGAAGAGAACCAGCGATGTAAAGGGCGCCGCTGGCGGGCCAATGCCACGGACAACAATTGTGCCACGGAGGCTAAGTGCAAGTGTGAGGCCCGGCGACTACTGCACTCCACGCCGGCTGAACAGTTCCCGGGCGCGACGGAGAGGTTCCGGAGGGAGTTCGTAAATTACCCGTTTGGCGTCACGTGTGCCGTGTGCGACCGGCTCTGGTTCGCTGGAGACATATCCATGATCGGCGGCGTGTCGGACAAGAAGAAGCGGGAAACAGGCGCGTGCGCGTTGTGGCAGTGTATCGAGTACAGCTCCGCTGGTCTTCCTTCTTTACGAGAGTGGAAAGGCTGAATGTTTTTTGTTTTTCTTTTCGGGCTTGGTAATTGTGTTGGGAGTGTATTGAAGCATGTCAGGTTTCAGTAAAAGCTTTTGTTTCTGTGGAGGAATCGGAAAGCCGTAAAGGTCTTTTCCCAACCTGATGCCCTTTGTGAACTTATCTCAAAAATACTAGTTCCGACTCTGCTGACACCAATAATCTTCATAGAAACTTTCTTCCTGCGTTGCAGTACTGGTTTCATAACAGCTGTGACTTTCCTTTTTTGAGCAGAGTTGGGAGAAAGAAATGCCACTTTTCAGTAATCACTCTTAAGTGAAGAGATGTTCTAAGCATCATTCAGTCAGACTGTGACAATAGTTTCACAATCCCTTTACACTGATCAGTCGTAAGCTTGCTGGGGAGTGATTTCGGGTCATACTTTTGCTTGTTAGAAACATAAAAACCAGCACCCTGCCCCTCTGTTGAGTCTTTTGCTTGCACCCTAGGTGGAAGAAGGCAGCAGGACTCTTGGCGACGTGAAGAGGATTGTTGGATATCCTGTAAAGAGTAAGCACCATTTTTCAATTTGAAATATTGGGTGTTGGAGTGTGCCACCTTGTACTGATCCTTTTCTTTTTTTTTTTTCTTTCTCTCTCCATGTGTCTGAACCTTATCTTTGGGGTCTCGGGAGCATTTCTTTTGCCACTTGCCACCGTAGATTACACCCTCGAATCGGTGCCTCAAGCCTGACCACTCTACTCTGGGACAGCTTTCTGCTGCAATTTCGGAAAGAAGATAATTGCACATTCGTAGCTTTGGTCGGAGCTCGGGGCGCTCCCTTTGGCTGAATGGCCACAGAAGGTCGTCCCTAGGCATGTATGAAATTTTCTTAACATTCGCTCATCAAAGTACGAGTCTATTTTTATGGAACACTTTTTTTTGTTTTTAAAAAAGGCAAGTGGACACCCAAAAGCCGAGGGGACCTGTCTCGACTTTTTACGACATAGCTGCAGTTTAGACTTTTTTCGGCGTAACATCATTTACTAGACTTTGCCTCCTAGGCTGTGGAGCCTTGTCCCTTACGATAAGGGATGAGGTCGAGTCGTGAGTGTGTGTACTATATGAAGGACGGTTCTTGTAACGTCAAGAGATTTGCAAGCCTATGGTGGAAGAATAATGCTCAAAAAGAAGGGAAGTATGTTCAACTTGTGTAAGAGTTGGACATAAAAACCAATCACAAGTTGCAACCAAACGTATAAGTGCACAAACCAACCTTTGCCATGCAGGGAATGTGACAGATGCCCTGTACATCGCTGCCAGCTTCCTCAATCCTTTTGTCGAGCTCAGTCTCTTATGCAGAGGAAGCCATCTGTTGTAGTCGCAATTTGGTTGTGTACTTTGTCTCCTCTTACCGCAGGGAAAGTCCACATTAAAATAGCGAGGTAAAGTGGGGTCGGATTTATCTCTGTCAGGTTTGTCTTGCTTGCGGAGTCTTTTTGTACTTGTTGCATTAACCCATTCACTACCGCACACGTTGCGTGCTGTCGGGCCATCCGTACCGCATGTCTTTTCCCCTAAAACGGCCACACTAGGCGTGACCGTTTTCCTTGTATAATAAGCTTTTACAGTAAAACTCTGTGCAGAAAACAAGAAAACATAATTAAACAGCGCACAAGGAGAGGGACAGAAAAGGAAGACAGAACAGGCAAGCTCTGACTCGCAACTGACGATTTACTATGAGAAGGAGAAGGAAGAAATTATGTATAGCAACCACCAACTAGCCCAAGTATCCACCATTTTGAAGAAAACATGTTAATTTTTAAGTGGGTTGTTCAAGTCTATAAATCACTAGGCCCTCACAGATACTTCCTCGTATGGAAGATCTTGATGCACTGCAGCCTCGGTCACTTAAGCGTCCCACAACCAGTGCGCTCTTGTCGGGACTCGACTCAGAGCTGCTGTCGGAAGTGCTTCCGTCATTGACAGAAGGCTCCGAACACTCACTATCCTCACCGGACGTCCCGTCATCATCACTGTCGAAAAGAATATTTATGATTTCATCGCCAGAAAGGCCACAGAGTACACTGGACGTTGCCATCTTCTTCAAGCAGGCAGCGATCAAGCAGGAAAGGTGACACACAAGAAAACAAGCTCAAACAAACACAGTGAACAGAATGACCCTCGCCATCTGTTGGCAATGTGTCTAACTATTCTACCCCAAGTCTACACAGCGCGCCATCTATGAATGGCTCTTTAAAACAGGAATTCATGCAGCCCGGCGAATCGCCAGTTTTGGCTGTATGATCCCTGATGGCACGTCTGGCGATGTGCCGGCTTTGGTAGCGAATGGGTTAAGAAAACTATCTGGTTACCCAAACTTCTAAAGATTGACTCACGCACCTGTGTTTGTGACCACCTTGTTCTTAAGGCATTGTTTTTTCACCGTGGGCTTCAAATAATTCTGACGGCATTATAAGCAACCATTTTTCTTACATTGTGCGTAGATTTCATCTCGTAAATACGGGAAATCTTTGTCTAGTTCAGGACCGAAAGTGTCTAATGCTGCTTGCACCTGGCACAAGCTCGTTCTAACTCCATGCAATGTGCCAAGTTGGAACTCGAGGAGTCTTAGCGCAGTCGGTTATAGTCAAGTGCAGCACTCGGTCAGAGTCAAGAGTAAATGTGTCAAGCGCGCTGTAAAAAAAAAGAAAAAAAAAAGTTGTAGTTGAGAATTTGGTTGAGCAAGCAGGTAGCGAGTTATGCCTCAGTCGGTTGAGAACGGTCTCTTTGGACGCCCATTCTCGAAGGACGTACGCGCTGGTTGCCTTCCGCCGTGCTTCGGCTGCGCGTGCACCCTCGAAGCTTACGAGACGGCGGTTTTCCCGCGCACGCGCGAGGAGCCACATTCGAATTTGGCGCCGTTGGCTTTTGTGTTTGGCAGCGTGGTGAAAAGGGAGGCGATGATTGGGTGGCCGTCTGATCGCTTTCTCGGTTGGTCGGATGGCAAGCCTGTTTGGGCGCCGTTGTGCGTCTTCGTTCTTCCATCCGACTTTCCCCCTCTCTGCCACGCCTTCTCACCAGATGTTCCGGCTCGTATCTTTCTTCTTTTTTGTAGCTAAAGAGAGAGGGAGAAATTCTGGGGAGAAATGTAGGGATATTTCTCTAGGGGCAGGCTTCTTGGGGACAGACTCCGCGTCGTCTGCTTTTTTACGTCCCGCTACGTCCTCTGCAAAAAGAAAATATGTATCTAATTTAAAAAGAAGTTGTGCTCATAAATTAAATGGTTTTTTTTTTTTTTTTAGTGTGTGTGTGTTTACGTTTCGAAGTGGTGCATTTGTGAAAAGAGCTCATGGGACTTTGAGAACAGTTGGTTGACTGGAGCGAAGTTGATTGAATGTGACATTGCCTACTATAAAGATTTTGTTACTGATTTGTTTTCATAGGAGACGATTGCTTGCAATAGAGTCTACACTGACATAAGAAGTGGGAAATTTTACCTGTTATGAGGTAAATTTACTGCTAGCAGAACTTTCGTGGGAAATTAGTATATATCCATAGAAAACCGTCTGTTCGTGCGATAAATCTGTGAAGTAGTCACTCAATCGGGGAGTGTGCGTCTTCGGGAATTTTCCCGCAGTTACCCCCTCTATATTGAACAGTCTGTTCATTAGTATTTTCCTATATTTTAAACTAGGTTTAACTTTGAAATTCCGATCACCTTTATTAATTTAATTCCAAATTTATTTTTAATATTCCGTTCCTTGGTTGCCGACGGCGGCAGCTGCACCCACCTCTTTTTGTAAACAAGGTTGCGCGTTAGGGATAAAATGTCCCTACAAATGACGACCAAAGCGCGAAAGCCGGTCGGCCTTCCGGTTTTGGCACTCCTTATTCCTTTTTTTTTTTTTTTGTACGCTGCGCCACAGTGGAATCATAACCAGTGGTCCCACTCAAGGCCACTTCCGGTAATCGCGCATACACAGCGCTCCTCAAGCCGGATGGCGACAACTGAAGTTGTCAAACAAAAACAAACAAAAAAACAGGGTAAAAAAGAATCGCAATTGACTGAATTGAGTGCGTTAATGGTATTATTTTTAGAAAACATAATAAGCTAGGTAATAATGATAAACCAACATGGAAAGAAAAAATCGAGCAGTTACCGTTAGCTTCAAAAAGTTCATTGCCCTAACCGAAGCCATGTTTTTAAACGTCGCCGGTCGCGTTGTCGGCGTTGTCGTTCTGCGAATTTCTCTTTTCTAGTACATTTCCCTTTCGGTTGGATCCTCGCTTGGCGTTTTAATGTCACGTGAGTTATCGAATCACGCTATGAATGTGTTCTAAATGGGCCTGCTCAGGCAAGAAGCCAAAAAGCCGGGGACTCGCTTCTCCGTTCGAGATTCCGGGATTCCGCTTCAAGTTCGTTGCCGGTGAGTGCAAACATGTAAAAGTGCTCGTGCTATCCTTCGCGTCAGGCCATGGCGCGACCGTCTTTTCTCCAACGCAGTGTATGTGACTGTTAATTTCTGAGGCGTGTAACGTCGGACGTGACATGTAGAACGGTCGAACGTAATGAAGTGCTTCACGCGCAACCTCCCCGTACCGAAGCTTTCACACCACTTTACTGGAAAAATATAAATATCGTGGCAAATGACGCGGATCAGACCGCACCTGGGATTTGCTAATCTGTAAAATCATAAAAGAGAAGTTGGCATCATAGTATAACATATAAAAAAACAAAACAAAAAAACACGCAACATTATAAAAAGTGAATTGACCACTTGTTATATATTTGCAAACAGGCTAACCAAGTTGGCTGGGTACATTGAACATAATTCTGAATTAACTAGTCAGATGGATGTCCCTTGAAGGGAATTAACGGGAAGGCTCCTCTAAAAAAAGTGTTGCTCAAACATGCCAATTTCCTGGACTCACACCTGTCTTCTCTCTCTCCTCAGGATACCCTGTGGGTATGGCAGCATCTGGCACCTGTCGTTCAGCATGCGCCGAGACCCCCCCTCCCCCTGTCAAGCTCCAGACATAATTTATCTCCGCTTGGCACGTCATGCAGTAAGACCCACAGTACTTATCTAATTTAGAAGTATAAGCAGGGACGGATCCAAGGGGGGCGACAAGGGCGGCCGCCCCCCGTCGCCCCCCCTTGGTTCTCTTCCGACGGGGCGGCCAAGGGGCAACGGGGCGGCCCCTTGGCCGCCCCTTTGCTCCAGAGTCGTGCCCCCCCCCCTCCCCCTTCTCAGAGGGCAATTTGACATGGTTGGACCCCCCGGTGCAAACAAAAGAAGCGGAGAATAGTATCCTCACAAATTGTCTTCCCCCCCCCTCCCCTCCCCCCCCCCCCCCTCCTCCTCCCAAAACGGAGTTCTTGATCTGCCCCTGAGTATAAGGTGCGTCTCACTTCGTCCATTCACTGTATGCTGTTACTTTCCTCTTCCAGTACGATGGTTCCTCGGAGAATCAAAGGGAATACCACGAGGGCGACAAATGTGTGGAGGCAAGTTGCAAGGGCCGGACACCAGAGACAAGGACCATCAGTAACCAGGGGGATGAAG